CACAGCACAGGTATGGAGTGAACCTTCAGCTCTGAGCTTCAGTAGAGCTTGGGGACAAAAGAACACAAGTTTATGGGAGCCTAGGTGAGGCTGGCCATGTTAATTATAGCAAATTACTGCACTCAGGGCTCTCACACCAGGCACAGATGATGGTGGGAATGTGACCACTAGTGGGGGAGCTGGAAAAATTTCAATGGATAAACTACTGTAGTCACTGTGCTCTTAATGTCTCACTGGTGATGGAGTTCAGACAGAGAGAAAGGGGAGCTGGTTTGAAAATGTATTTTTGTTTCAAACAGCTTTGCACAGCTCTGGGTCCTGCTCTGTTTAAAAGGCTGGGGAAGAGGAACACAGCCTGAGTGTAGGACAGAAGCAGGGATGCACTTGAACATGATGTAAAACCTTCCCATTTACCCTAAATGTAAATTATTGGGTACTTATGCACCCAGGGGGACCACAGAGCAGCCCGTGGTGTGACTCTTCTGTTCATCTCAGGAGAATGTGATCTGATTTGACTACGTATTTTTGTATTTCTTTTGTATTTTGGACTGTGTGTTTTGTTGTGCCCTGCAGAGCAGCTGCATGTCCAGCACGGGCCAGCCATCCCTGGAGTGCCTGTGCTGTGATCAGAGCTTCCATTTACCCTGCTGGGCCCTGCCCGGGTGGCAGCTGGGCTGCTCTGCTGCACCACAGGCACTGTGCTGGCACCCAGCAAGAGCACCCTCCTGCTGCCGTGGTGGGGGAGCTGGGATCTCCTTTGCTGAAGCAGAGCTTCTCCCTGTGCAGGATGGCAGGGATTGTTCCTTTTCAGGCAGCTCATTTCTGCCCGTGCTGTGACACCTTCTTCTGAACTCCCAGAAATCAATACGGCTGGTAAGATGCACTAACAGAATTTTTTTCCCAAGGAATTATCACATAAGGTGTGGTGCTTTTTATTTGTGGGTGTGGGTTTTTTTAAATTTTTGTTTGTTTAGGTGTTTTTGTTTGTTTGGGGGGGTTTTGTTTTGGTTTTTTAGTATTATTTATTTCTATTTTTCCAGGGGAAAGACACCAACCAAGACATTGGAATATAATGAAAGACACTGTGTATAGTCAGTGTTTGCAGAGTGTATACAGCCAAGAAACACTAAGGGCACTCTCTCCACACCACTGGCACATTTTCAAGAAAATTTTACACTAGCCATCTTGCCCTAAGTGGTAATTTCTGTTGGAAGGGGTATGCCACAAACTGCCAGACTGCAGAGGGACTGTCGGTTCTCTGTGCTCATCATCAATTGTCAAAATGTGTCTCAAACATAATAAGCACCTAAGCCTCCTTTTTGGTTTATCTGCTCTCTGCCAGCACTCTGCAAGGGGCTGTCTTATTTGCCATTGAAAGAGCTGTGTTTCATGCTCCTCCTGACAGACTGCTATTTAAGTCTCTGCTTAGCATTCATATTTCTTTCTAGTTGGAATTATTTTACTTGGTATTTAGAAGCACAGCTATAAATCTGAAAAGCGTTTTACATGCTGTGTTAGGGCTTGATTGAAATCCCACTGAAATCAATGAAAGCTTTCCCTCTGACTTCAATGGACTGGGCGCTTGGGAAATGTGGAAAAACGGTCTGTTTTGAAATAAGAATTGTGTCCATGCCATAATGTTTATTACCAATAGCAGGGAACAAACCAAAACATGTCATGTATGTCTTTTCCCAACATGCCTCATGTATCATTTATCTGCTGCCTACATGCACCCAGCTGGGATACAGAGTGCAGAAAATAATACCTAAAAATTCTGCTTTATAAACACAAACGTGTGAGGAAAACAAAATCCCCTTATCTGATAGATACAAGTGTTCATATGAAGTTGAAATGACATCCAGCAGAATCAAGTGTCACAGCCTGCTTCTTGAGAACCTGGAAGGAAAAGCTTCCTTGTAGTCTCATTTCTATAAATTTCTGTGTAGGAAACAGTTCTTTAATGACTCACACTTTCCATGGACGGGTACTATTAGCAAATCTTGATCTTCCCTTTTAATTTGTAGTAAAGCTGGTGGCTGTGACCCGGTTATCAAAAGTGCTGCGCCAAAGAAAAAAAATAACAAAGATGAAGACATAACAAACTCTTCTGATACTTGTCTGGGTAATTACCTACAGATCCGGGAGACTGAAAGGAAAGTGTGACATCTGCATGTTACTTTGTCGGCGGAATTGCTCCAGCTTGCTGACGAGCTAGTTACAATAAGGACGAGTCTGAGGTCTCCGGGGATGTAATGGAGACGTGAGGATCCTCTGGTCTCGTCAGACCTGCATTTTTAAGTGGCATTCTCGGCTAATAGTGGAAATAATTATAGTTCTGCTATTGCAAAATGTAATTTTGCCAAGGCAGTACTTAAAGCCTGAGTCAAATTTTCACATGCTGACGAGGAAAAAAGGAAACAATGCTAAGAGGTCTCCACAGTGCCTGCAAAAACAAGTGCTGCTGCAGTGATGAACCGTTTGATAGTGCCTTTATCAGCGTGCAGTCGTATTTTAAATAGTATGAGCCATAAATGGCTGCTGCAGCTTGTCATTTGCCTTATGGGAGGCAAGCAAGAGCTGCTTGTTTGATTTGTAAGATGAGCTGGCTTGTTGCACAAGGCAACGGAGGAGACTCTGTGCAGAAATGCCTGAAGTATTTCCTAAGCTTTTTTGGATTCCTGCCACTAGGAAGTGCAGTGAGTGCTGTCACAGTGTGAGGAATGTTGTGAAAAGGGTCTAGAAAGGCAACATACCTTTAAAGACCATGGCAAAAAGAAATCCAAAACCCAACCCAAACCAGAGACCTCAGCAAGTCAAGAAATTACAGAGATGGTAACAAAAATAGGTGTGTGCAACAAGAGAGTATGAAACAGAAGAAATTCTAGAACGGAAAAATGCTGGGTTTGTCTTCCTTTTCCACTGCTCTTAGGTGTTTATATGAACACTTTTGAAATTAGTAAAACAAAGATAAAGCTATGCTGATACGGGTAAGTTTCTGATTCCTCCTCCAGGTCACAGTGTTTTCAAATACTGGCAAATAGTCTGAGTGGGAGCAGATGAGCAGGAGGGTACAGGGGAGCTGCTCTGAGTGTTGAGAACACAAACATATCTTTCTTGAAGCAGTGAAGTCACACCAACTTCATTTCTTTGTGATTATCAGAGAATCCCAACACTTTCCTAAGCTAAAAATGGTTTTGCTGCTTTAGCTTTCCAAGTTTAACGTCTATTATAAATGACACTGGCATTACATTGCCCATCCCACTCAGCAAATGCAAAGGTGCAGCAGAAGTGAACAAAAAATGCCCTGTCTGTTCTTTCTCTGGCTGTGGTTATGGTGTAGATAGAAATAAACCAACAGCCAAAGCAGGTGTGCTGAATATGCTGAGCCCACAATCCAAGATCCATGAGTGATGTGCCAAATCAGCTCTTGGACTCCTGAGACAAAACCATGACTCACTGGTGTTTACCCAGATGGAAAACGGAGAAGACTCTCTCTTGGTCTGAACACACCACTGGTGTTCACAGTGTGATCTTCACATCAGAGAAAAACTCTGTTCAGTTAAAGCATGTATGAAAAAACCCCATGCATTAGGGACAAACTGTTTTAATCACTTGTCTCTATCAAAGCAACCAGAGACAGTTCCACAGTGATGCTACTGGGAAATCAGCGGCATCTTCTGCTTGTATAAACCAGGACAATTTTGTTTCATGCTAAAATGCAATTTGGTGTTTCAACTTGGAAAAAAAAATGACACACTTTTCACTTCTTATGAGATGTTTTGGAAAGAAGCCACCTTTGATTTTATCTACACTTTTCACTTTTTTTTTTCCTTTTTCTTTCCTTTTTTTTTTTTTTTTTCTGTTTGCTTACCGAGAAAGAGCAAAAAAACCCACACAATGGAAATTTATTTTCAGTAAAAACCCAACTATTCATTTCCATTCTTCTATTGCAGCACCCAGGTGCAAAAGAAGATAATACCCAGAGTAAGTAAGGCTTGACAATTTTATCATGGAATCATAGAATGTCAAAGGGTTGGAAAGGTCCTTAGGGATCATTTAGTCCCAACCCCTGCCATGGACAGGGACACCTTCCACTTGACCAAGTTGCTCAGAGTCCCATCCAAGCTTGAACACTTCTAGGGATGGAGCATCCCCAGCCTCCTCGGGCAACCTGTGCCAGTGTCTCACCACCCTCACAGTAAAGAATTTCTGCCCAATATCTACCCTAATATCAACCTTCCTAATACCTAGCCCATTTCAGCTTGTACCCATCACTCCTTGTCCTACCAGCACAGTCCCTGATGAAAAGTGTATTAACAAATCCTTTGTAAGCGTTGCACTGTTTATTGCAGGACCGGGGGGTTGTACATTATCGGTTTAACGGGGGAATGGGAACACCGCGAGGGAGCGGCGTGTGCGGGCACCCGCCTGGCCACGGCGCGGCTTGGCTGGGAGGGACCCTAAAGGGACCCTAAAGAGCAGTTGCAGCAGCCAGCCGAGGCAGGGCCAGCTGTCCGGGTGGCTGCCGAGAGCGGGAAGGGCGCTGGGAGCTCCCGATCCACCTTGATTCCAGCCCGATTCCAACCCTTTTCCAGCCGCCCCTTCGGCCTTCCCCGGGCGCCGCCAGGGGGCGCTGCCGGCGCGGGGCCCAGCGCTGCTCTGAGCGGGGCGCGGGCCCTGCCCCTGCCGGAGCATCCGCGCTCCGGGGAAAATCCCCGGGGAAAACTCGCTGCTGGCGAGGCACCGGGGAAACGCGAGGCACCGGGGAAACGCGAGGCACCGGGGAAACGCGAGGCACCGGCAGGGACGGCCGCCTGCCCGCCCGGCCGCGCCTCCTCCGTCGCCCCGCCCCGGCGGACTACATCCCCCAGCGTGCCCCGCGGCGCCGTGCGGCGCCCCCGCCGTGTTCCGTGTTCCGCGCGGCCCGAGCGGGGCTGGCCCGGCCGAGCCCGGCGGGGCTGAGGCGGCCGCGGGCACCGGGACGGGACCGGAGCGGAGCGGGCATGGGCGGGCGCTGAGCCCGGCCCGCCATGGACGAGCACGGCGGGAGGGAGGACGGCATGAAGGAGGAGGAGGAGGAGGACGGCGGCGAGGCCATGATGGACGACCAGAACCACAACAACTGGGGCGCCTACGGGCGGTACCTGCTGGAGGAGCGGCTGCTGCCGCCGGCGGGGCCGCCGCGCCCCGCGGGGCCCGAGCACAACGGCGGGGCAGTGCGGGGCTGCGAGCCGGCGGGCACGGCCGGCAGGGCGGGCGCGGCCGGGGCCATCGCCGCCATCAACATCAGCGCCTCCACCTCCAAGTTCCGTGAGTCACCCGAGCCCCCTCTGCCACCTGCCCCTCTGCCCCTTTGGTTCTGCCCCTCTGCCCCTTTGGTTCTGCCCCTCTGCCCCTTTGCTTCTGCCCCTTTGGTTCTGCCCCGGCTCTGCCCTCCCCCTGCGCGGGTCTCGCCCCGAGAGCCCTCCCGAAGCGAAATGGGATGGCTTAGGGCGCCTTGGAAGGAGAAAACAGCGTTTCTTGCGCGCACCCCGACTTCTCCTGCCCTGCTGCCGCGGTAGAGCTGGGGCAGGGTTTGGCAGTGTTGCTTTTCCCGAAGCTTTTCCCTTCTGTCTGAAAAACCCCGAGGTGAATCGGAGGCCTGTTTGTGTGCAGGGCCCGTGGAAGGGCTGTGCTGCCCTGGTGAGAGAAGGACAGGTGAGCGAGGACTCGTGCCTTGCTCTGTGATGCAGAGGCTGTCTCAGACAGGTTATCCTTCGTGTCTTTCAAAGGGACCAAATCCAGTTCGCCTTCCTTGAGACTTTGTTGGGACTGGGAGCTAAAATGTGTCTGTATAGGCCTGATGAGGACAACTGAGTGTTAATTTACTCCCCCAGAATAGAATCACAGGATGGTTCGGCTTGGAAGGGGACCTTGAAGTTCATCTGTTTGCAGCCCCCTGCCGTGGACAGGGACACCTTCCACTAGACCAGGTTGCTTGGAGCTCAGTCCAGCCTGGCCTTGAACACCTCCAGGGACAGGGTTCCTAAACATCCTTTGCATGTAGCTTTTAGTAGGAATGGCAAACTTTTCCACTGTTTTGCTGAGCTAAGGCTGAGGGAAAGGAAGTTTTTTTTTTTTTTTTCCTGTACCTTTCAGTTCTACTTTTGTTTCCAGAAGTCACCCCTGTGGGCAAAATAGGTCTTGTTTTCTAATGGACTGTTGGAAAAGTTGGGTTTGGGTAGTTAGTATTCCTAGCTGTGTAATTGCCACGATGAAACTGTGCTGGGAAGCACAGCTCTCTGTCCTTGCCCTGCCTGCTTTCCCCGGGGCTCGCTCACCTGTTGGGCTCCAGAGCTGACCAGGAGCTTGAAGTTCAGGCTTCTGGCTCCCTGCTCCTCTGGCAGCCTGGGTCTGGTGGCTGTGGGCACATGGCCAAGCCTGGCTCCTTTGAAGCTGGGTGAGCTCCCTGGCTCTCTCTCTGCCCTGCCTGTCAGGCTCCAGGTACCTGGGGCGGCTCCTGAGCACCTGAGACCGCGGCAGTGAAATGTTGTTCAGCCTCACTGACTCACGAACTCCCTCTTGGTTTGTCCTGCTCTTTCAGAATGAGAAGGGTTTTCAGGCTGGATCTCCACCCAAATGGGAAGGTGACTTTCCAGCTAATCCACAGTTTATGTCTGAGGGGGAGAAGAAGCTGCAGAGCACGATTTTGCTTAGGGTGTGGTTTTGGAGCTCTTCTTCTTGCTTCTCCAGCATTGGTATCCCAACACAGTATCTTACTGATGTTAAGTGTTGTTTTAAAGAAAAATACTTTCCCTGTGCAATACAAAGGTGTCTAATCTGTTTGTGGTTTTGGATAGTTGTGATGGGACATGTGTGTGAACAGAACGAGTCTGGTGAAGTAGCACTGACTGAGGAAGTGCAGGAGCTGAGTTGGGATGCCTCCTGTTCTCATCCTGGCTCTGACAGAGCATCCCCTAATATCCTCTGTGAAACTTTCACGTGTCATAAAAAGGAGAAGGGTCACTTTGGCTGTGAATGTACAGTGTGTGTGCTGGATCCCCTCCTGCTGCTCTGCCTCAGTTGTGGCAGGACGTGCAGAGAGGCTGATTGTCAGTCTTAGGCTTGATGGGAACCTTGTCTGTTCTCTGCTGCACGAGGGAGTTCTGCAGTGGAATGAGCAAGGACTCGTGCCTTGCTTGCTTCATGAGCAGAGGCTGCCCTGGACAGGTCATCCTTCATGTCTTCCAAAGGGACCAAATCCAGCTCCCCTTCCTTGAGATTTTGGTGAGACTGAGAGCTAAAATCAGATAGAATAATGCGTAGTTCATGTAACAGCTTTCCTTCCAGTTAAAGCAACTTAAGGAAATCTTCAGTGTTGTTGTAAACTTATAACTAAATATTTACAGTTAATCAGCTTCAGTTGTATTTACATTTATTTGCATTTACATTTATAAAGCTGTAGTGTTATGAAAAGTATTTTTCAAGGGCCATCAGGGAGAAGAGTAAAAGCTTTAAATTCTTTAAGAAAAACTCTTCCATAGCAGTAACTGCAGCATAACTCAGCTGTTGTGAGAAGTGAAGAGTTTTCTTCTTGTTTCTTTCATCCTTTTCAAGCAAGGATGGTTCTAAATGTCACTGATGCCAGTTCAGTGCCAGCCCTGTTTAGGACAGGCACATGTGACTGTGTGCATTGGCACATCCATGCAATCTGCTGCCTTCCCTGTTGCACAACATCGTGCAGTGAGTGTGTGTATCCCTGCCTATGCAAATGGGCTGATGAAGAGAAAGTTCCTCTTTCTAACCAGTCTTATTTCATTTGAGAAACATGTAATAAAAATAGAATAGGATTGAAAGCAACCACGGGGCAGACTCCTGAACTTGCTGAAGTGTGCTGGGATGTGTCAGGCAGGGGGGAGAGCAGAATCTACTGTGGAAACGTGAGCATGAGGGCTGAGAAGAAGCTAAGCACTGAGCCACAGTCTGCAGATAACCCTCAGACATCTGCCTGAGGAGTTTGCACACTTTGACAAAATATTTCAGGATTTTAGGGTGTGCTGCTAATAAAGCAGGAGAGTTTTGTACGTGCCAATGTGGCTTCTGAAAGGTGCTCAGCTGCTTATTTCATTTTTAGTGTCAGAATAAATGACAGATAATTGTCAGACTGATGTCAGCACACTTGGCAGTGGGTCAGATTAGCCATCCTGCTCTGTGCCCTTGCTTTTTAACTATAGATAAGGGTGTTTTTTATATGTGACCATAGTAAGAATATTGAGTAGTTTTTCAGCTTGTCTCATCTAAGTCAATTATTTTTGTTTTAAATTAATAGTCTATTCTTCACAACCTGTGCCGTTACTGTTTCAGCCTCTGTTTTGAGCTGTGTGTGCGGTGTTATTATCAATTTCAAGGGGATATATACCTGCTCTTAGGTTCTGTTTGTTTGTTTTTTAATCTTAGTGGGGTTTGCTGTTCTTTTCACTGAAGCTGATATCAGGGAATTTGGGTAGCTTGGAGCAGGCTGTGTTTCAGTTATAGCTGTGATACTGATATATCTGGGTTATGAGTGGAAGCTCATGCATATTCTTTTTTACTTAAATGGTTTCACTGCTGCATTTGACTTCAACACTTTTTCTTTTGAACTTTTTTTGTGTATGGAAAAGCAGCAGTTGCTGCTCGAGCTTTGCTTGTGAAGCCTTTTATTCTCTGGAAAATACTGACTTCCCTTCTGTTTTATCAGGCTGATTTCTCTCCCACCCCCACCCCAAACTTGCTGCAGTTGGATAAAATAGTGCATTCTAGCATGTTTGGTTACAAAATATCAGTATCACTTCCCAGAAACCAATGAAATTTCAACAAAATGAAAGTTGGGTTTCCTTGTGATATGGGAACAGAAGCTGCTGGGCAACTCTTTTTACATCCTGAGTACCTAATGTAGGGATAAGCATTTAAGCATGGCATCCTAAAAAGATGGAAAAGTAAAAAAAGGAGTTTATAAAAGGGCGGCCTGTCTTTTCTTGCTGAGGATCTTGAACTTGTTCTGGCAGAGTTTGTAGATGGAGGGTCCTATTTTTAAGCCATCCTTCACTTTTTTTGTGTGCAAGCATTGCTAGAAGAAGGGGACTTCACTAACTGGTGACAGTTGTTAAAATTTTAAAGTAATTTGTTCTTTGGATTGGAAGAATAAAAATGTGATTATTCGGTGTGTAGTCTTGGACTTTTAGCTACATAAATATTGTGGTTGGCTCAGTTTCAGAACTCAAGTGAGGAAATCGAATTACACAGTACTTGTAAGAGACTTCTGAATGAGTGAAGCTTTTCTAGGATTTTTCTGAAATTCACTGTGAGTTTATTGGTATTTTCTATTCAAGTCTCCCAGGGCTGTTCATAAAAGTGTGTTGTCCTTTACCTGTGCAGTGTGTCTAATGGGCAGGCCTTCCTGTCTGCAGCTTCTGTCTTTGTCCATATCGTAAAAAGAAATAAAAATTAACATCTCAACAGCCTTAAAAATGATTATTCAGCGTTCTCAATTCTTGCATGACTTACTGCTCCTCAGACCCAGCCATGGATGTACATTCACACAGCCCCAGCACAGACGTGGTGGGGTGACAAGCCAGGCAGTGCTGGGAGCAGTCCCTGGAGAGAAGGTGTTTGACCTGCTGGAACTGAGCCATGTGGGCTGGAAAGACAGAGATTCAAACCCTTCTGTGGCTGTGAAGGCGCAGGGAGTCACCCGTGCAGGAAGGTGCAGTTGGGCAGCCAGGAGGAAGATCAGGGAGTGATGGGGAATGCAAATTTAAACACCTGGTTTGCCCTGTGTCGATTCTTATCTGGAAAAGGGGTATTACCATGCCTGCTAGAGGGGAACTGGAATAGGGATTCAGAAAAGTTGCCTGGAAGCCTAACTGCTGTTCGAGGGAGAGGGAATTGCGTCAGCTTTTAGACCAGGGAATCTGCTGGTCCCACCAGAGCCTTGAGAAATGAATAAATCTGCTGGGAAGGAGGATTTAAAAAACTGCCAGTCTTGGCCAAAGCTTATTCTCCTGCATGTGAGGACCCTGTGCCAGTTTTTGATTGTGGGCTGCCACAAAGTTGCATAATTTATTAATTTGAGCTATTCTTGTAAAATAAATAAATAAATAATAATGATAATAATTATTATGTTGTGGTGGTGTTGTTGTTATGGTAGAAATCCCAGAAATTTGTTTTTTCCTGCTACTTAGGCCCCAGAGAAATATCCAAGCACAGATTTGGCAGGTTCTCTGATTTGCCTTTATTTTCTGTAAATAAAAAGGTACAAATTCAAGCCTGGCCTTGAGTTTTAGATGGGGTTCTCTTAGTGGAAGTGAGCTGTTGCCAGTTTTTTTGGCCAGCTCAACGGTGTGATCCAAAATTGCAGAGCATTCACTTGCTTCTCATCTTTTAGATGAAGTCACTAAATGCAGTTTTCTCTTCTCTTGCAGTGATGAATGTTATCACAATTGAAGACTATAAGAGCACATATTGGCCAAAGTTGGACAGTGCCATAGATCAGCTTTTAACTCAGAGTCCTGGTGACTACATCCCTATTTCCTATGAACAAATATACAGGTAAGGAGATATTTTAAGTGCTGTGTTATTTTTGTTTTCTTCTTTGAAGTGAAATATCTGTTTTACCTTGCAGCCTATGCATATGTCTTGCTTTGTATCCTTGAGGAGGAAAGAGGGAAGGTTACATGAAATAAAACATTGTTATGTGGTTGGAATGAATGGATAATAAATACATAACCTGATGTCCCATGGTAACAGAAATAAATGCTAAAGAATTCAAGTGCATCAGTGCTTAGAGCACCAACATGACCCTTTGTCTCTGTGGTTTGAAACTTTGGATTAGGGAACCGGAGAAAGGCGAGTGTTCAGTTCCTTTTAGTTCCAGCTGAAAACTTTAATATAATAAACTTCCTCTTTCCAAACTTTTGGAACTGCTGTTACCAGGGCTCATGTATCATCATGTGTATAAATAATCAGAGGGTCATTTGAATTGAGAGAGACAGCTCTAGTGCAAGTAATCACAATCCTTTCCCAGCTGGAAATCCCCAGTGTGCAAACTGTCTGCAGTGAGAGCTAAGCTCTGACATAGCAAATCTGCAAAATTAATGGTTTCATACCTTGAGTAGATCTACATCTAGTTATGGTTTGCAGATCACTGCAGTCCATCCTTTTCACCTTTTTACTTCTCAGAAGTTTTTAATTGTTGAATCAGTAATAGGTTTGGGGTTTCTCTTAGATAACCCCTTTAAATCTGGGGCACCCAATGCAGGACTGCACCAATGTCTATTGCATGTATTTTACTATTACCAGCACAAAAGATTTTCTCTAGTTTAGTGTTACTGGAAAAGCTGGCACGTCAATTTTCTTTTAAAAATTACTTCTGACTGTAATTCTGACACAGCCTCTAGGCCAGTTCTTTAGTCCGAAAAATGGGATGTTTCTTGAAGTGGTTCAAACAGCTACATTTTTGAATTTTTTCAAGTAAAACTGAGGTGAAAATACAGTGGGTTTTTTGGTCATCTTGGTGCTGAGTACAGGAATCAAGTTTTCCATAATGCCAACTCAAAACACATTATTAGATACCCAGACTATTATATTTGCCTATTATATTTGGTCTTCCTTTTCCTGAGGTGTTTGGTTATGCTGAAGAACTGACAGGCTGGTGAGTGCTTTTGGGTGTTAGCAGGGTGAGGATGATTCACAGGGTTAGCCCACAATCAGGAACTGAAAACGAGATCTTACAATGGGGAAGGAGCCTCTAAATAGAAGTGAACACAAAAAATGAGATGTAAACAGGCCCTGCACGCACATCCAAAGGCTGGTGTTGGATTACAGAATGTGTTGCAGGAGCAGGTGCAGCAATAGTGTGTGTAACACCAAGCAGAAGGGTACTTTAAATTTCAGTTTGTTCCGTGCAGATGAAGCAGTCAGCTTGTGGAAGTGGCTGCATTTGGTTAGTTAGGGAGCACACAAACCTGGGGCCATTTGCTGTGCTTGCCCAGCTGGCTGATTTGTCAGAGATCACAACAGTCAGTCTGCTTTTCTTGTCACTGTTTCTCTCTTTGATCCAGGTTAAATTGGCTGTTACCAAAACCATCATACCAAAATGTCTTTGGCACTTGCTTGTTCCAAAATAGGATCTGCTATCAGTAGACATTATGTGAAAGAAAAAGGACAACTTTGACTGCTATTATTTAAATAATATCAAATTGCAGATAGTTATTTTTTAAATGCAGTAATAGGAGAGGTGTGGGGTGTCTTTTGTTTTTTAAGAAATAGCATTGTTCACCAAACGAGCAGACTTTGCATAGGGATCAACGCTGTATTTCAAAGTGTTTTGAAGTTGTCAGAGGGAATAAATACAAACTTCTTAGAGTTACTGCTAGTTCACTTGTAAAAGCTTCCTCCAGAAGACTTTGAGAGTTGCAGTTGTTGAATGAGAGCATTGTCTTGGTCTCTGAAGGCTTGAAGTTGGTGCCCAAGCTCTCACGTGCATTAGAGAATTTCAGTAGCCCACTGATGCTTTGATGCCATCTTTGTGGTTTGCCTTTGTTCCCCCCTTCTCAGCAGAGAATTGGAAAGTCACAGTTCCCCAGTAGGGACACAGTGTTGCTGTCTTGTAGCTTTGGGCTTTTGGTGCCATTAAAAGCCTGCACAGTTCAAGTCTGGGACTTGCCCAAGATACCAGGTGAAGCTCTCCTGTGCCTCTTGATTTTTGGCAGCTAGATTCCAAAATGCTGACTTCAAAGAATTAAAACACTCAAGAAAAATAAAAGCTGCTCAGTACAGATTAGTGTTTGTGTTAGTCCTGATGATGATGAGTGCCTTAATAACCTCTTGATGAAAGTAATACATGTGTTTGTTTTACAATGGTTGTAAATAAGTTTTCAATTAATAGCCTTATTTTGTAGATGTTATATTGCAGTATGAGGGCATAAAACGTTCTTAAAAAAACACAGGTAACAATGAACACCAGAGTTAACACAGCCAAGCCATGGAATGTAGAATTAAAATGTTATTGCTTTTTCCCTGCATCTTTCTGTATTATGGAAGTGTAGGATTTTCTTAAATTGAAGTAACAAAGAATGGAGTAACGTGCTTGGGTCTGTAATTTTAGAACTGCTACTCTTTCCTTTTAAAACTTATCAGAGTTTTGGTGCAACTTCTATGACTGCATGTCTAGAATATTCATACAGTCATTAAACCTGCTTATTTTAATGGGCACTTAATTTACATAGGAGAGACAAAAGCCAGAATTAGGAATGTGCTGTTGACAGAGTTGTCCTGGCTATTTGGAATTGCATTGTTAGGAGAGCTCACTGTAGGTAAAAATGAGGGTGGGGAGGGGGAATGGGATGAACACCCTTGAGAATCCAGAGATGTAAGAGTCTGCTGGAGCTCATGCCAAGCTTAGGACTGTTATTTAAAAGTTCAGTAATCACTCAGTTAACTCTGTTATCCTCTAAATTGCAACTGGTACAAATTCTTTTGAAGTCTGTCCCTCCCATTGCAGACTGTTGTGAGTTGACTGTTTGTTCTGTGTTTGTTTCTGCAGTTGTGTGTATAAGTGTGTGTGCCAGCAGCATTCGGAGCAGATGTATAGTGACCTAATAAAAAAGATAACTAACCACTTAGAGAGAGTCTCAAAGGAGCTGCAGGTAAGAAGCTGCACAATCTATTTCTGTCTTTCCTGGGTTCTGGGAGTGTGTCAGAACAGCATGTAGGTGGTCTGTGGAGGGGATTGCCATTAAGGCTGATTTACAGTAGCCTACCAAATTGGGGACTACTTCATTCACTGTTGGGCTGCCAGAATACCACCTGCTAGATCCAGTTGCATGGCACTGTCTTGGCCTGGGTGACCTGAGCCATGTGGAGAACAGTGCCTAAACTCGAATATGTAATACAGAATCAAAGCCTGGAGAATGGGAAACCTACAGCATATAATCTGGGGTGTAAATACTTCAGCCAAGCAGGATTTGTGCACAGGGGGTGAATGTCTGCCATTGCTGTGTAAGGTTGTGGAAACTATTTATGATTCTTGTGCACCACAGAAGGGAATATATAAAGGGAAAAAATAAAACTAGGTAAATATGGGTTGTGAAATATAAATTAGGAATTATTGCATATGAAGTTTTGTGTTACAGTTTATTCTGCATTTTTCTTGCCTATCTCTAGATGTCAGTGGTTTACAGCAGTCCTAATACTTGTATATCCCTGTCCTTCTCTGCATCTTATTTGTGCATCCCTGGCTGTGTGCATGTGCGTTCCTTGTTGAACATTCCTTTCAGGCTGGAGTCTCCAGGCATAGTAATGTGAAGTGGTTATTGCTGCAGCAGCAACACTGTTTGATTTTTCCCTACAGCTTTTGTCACTTCCATGACAGATGTCTGAGTTCTGTGCTGCCTTGCAGTGCATGAAGTGGAGATGCCAAATGCAAAGGAACCCTAAACTACAGCAGCTCCCTCAGTGCTTCTAAGACACTGATAATTAATTTCTGTCAGTCAAAAGCAGTCTTACTGCTTCAGGTACTTCTGGCTAAACGTGCATTCCCACAGCACTGTGATCTCTCTCGTGTCCTTTTGGTTTCACTCTTCTCCTCTTGTGGCTTTCCTTACAAAGGAAAGTAACCCCCCAGCATTTAATAGGCATAGTGTTTGACTGAAATATCTAGAGCTAGTTTTTTTCTTCTTTTCTGTTTTCCATTCTCTTTGTTCCTCGTGGAATGACAGCCTCGCTGTTCTGTAAAAATTGGTTAGAGTAGATGAGCACAGTGTTGAAAATAAAGGCTTTCCTTGGTTCTGCTGAGCTGGTGCAGCCTGTACGTTTTTCTTGTGAGAACTATGATTCATGGCAGCTATACAGGTTTGGCCAGTTCTTCTGATACATCCCGTGGTAATATCCTGCATTTGCTGTAAATTTGGGAATACCCCAAATTCTTTAACTCCGTGTTAGTCCTTCACTGTTTCCTCCAGAGTTCCAGAACTGAGGCAGCTCCTTTTAAAGTTTGCTTTAGCACATGTGAGCAGTAAATGCTTCTGCCTAAAAGCAAGGCTGCCTTCTGAACATCAGCTCGTTGAAAGAATAATTGAGACAACTGTTTAGTGCAATCTGTGGCTTGCAAAAGGCTCCTTGTGTGGGTTAGACACACCTGTAGTATGACATGATACCATCTTTGAGTGTTAGTACAGGAGTTTTGTCTGACATGAACATGACTCTGCTTTTGGGGGGTAAAGATCTTTTTTGAGCTGCTTGAAATAAAATTCATGTGCCTCAGGAAAATTGTTCTCTAAAGAAACTTTTAGCTGTGGGTTGGGAAATTTGCTTTTAAGAAATTACTGCAATGTATTTTATTATCCTGATACTTCTTTGATCTTAATGCATTTTGGTGACATTCAGTCCTTTGGGATTTATGTTGAAAATGCAGTTCCAGATCTTCAGCAACAACAACAAATTGCTTTGTAAATGTTGGTTGCTTGGAAGTTTCTGCTTCGTGCAGGCAAACAGTAACCACCCCTATATATGTGAGTTCTTTTACTGCACAATATGAGGTATTTTGCTTTCTCTGACATGCACTCATTCTACCTGCCAACAACATTTAAGGGAGTAGCAGAGTTCTGTTTAGTTGGCAAGGTGTGTCTTGATGCAAGATAAATATTTTTTTTTTTTTTACATGCAGAGATGCAAATGTAGCCCTGCAGGAGTGCTGGTTTCTGTGAGAAAATGTGATTATAAACTGAACTGGCAGACAAATGCAACGTCTTTTCCTGGACAAGCCAAGCAACTTCTTTGTGTAGAAGTGTAACAAGATAATGGCAAGTGGGTTGCAGAATATCTGCATGTGACCAGCATGGCAGAGTTAGTTTGCAGTGGTGGCAGAGGTTTTAGTTTGCAGTGGTGGCAGAGGTTTTAGTTTGCAGTGGTGGCAGAGGTTTTGTGAACACGTGGATGGGCTGATGCGTTCCCTGCGTGTCAGACACTGGGTGAGAAGCAGTGAGTGGTGCTTGCTGAGTAACAGTGTGCTTAGATGAGGTGAATTGCTTGTCAGCAGGCCATCAGCTTTTTGATGTGGGGCCTCCTGTATCCCGAGACATTTCTGGCTCCCTCATTACTATGTCTAAGTAAATAATCCTTTCTTCAGACTGTTATGGAGAGACTCAGAGCAAGGATTGCCTTCCTTCCCTGCAGTCAATGTCTGACCACCTTCTCTGCTTTAGTTAGGACTGAGTTTTGCCATGTGGAGCTTTCAGTAATTGAGAGTTAAATTTCCCCAATTCTTGAGTTGATTGGAATTTGGGATTTTGTCTGCTTAAAATAGAAATGTGTGGCTGCAGAAGACACAAATTGTTTCTTGTTGTCTTGGTCTGTGAAGTGTACAGGCAGTATACAGATGATTTTTCTAAGATGTTTTATTTGGAAACATTTTATTGATGATAGACATAGTTCATTATGTTGTGGTTCAAAATAATGTCAGCTGTTTTTGTGGGTAAGTGCTGAGTCATTCAGATGTATGAGATAGGGTGGATACACAGGCATCTGCTTTCAAATTCAGTACACCTCTCTTTAAAATTAACAAAACTGTATTTGCATTAGGCACCAGTGTTTCTGGCCTATCTTATTCTTATGTACTCTGATAAAGTAATTTAAAATCAAGTACTCTACCCATTACATACCTCTTCAGCAAAAGACACTGGAAAGTACTCAAAGCACTGACAGTCGAAATGCACTGTGGCTTTGAGCTGGCCTGTTTCAAAAGTAGCTTTTTTTTTGTGCAAGCGCAGTGCAATATTCTCATTTTAGTTAGAATAATTTCAGAACTTCCTTTACAAAATGACTGAGAGCTGAAAACCTCTTATTTGTCATATTGCACCTTTTTTTTCTTTAGATAAAAGAGAAAAAGAGATCTGTTGTTTTCTGTTTGTGGTGGTGGGTTTTTTTATAATTAAGAACTATATTTTTTTATATATATATATTTTTTTTTACAATGAACATAGCTGAACTGGTGTTGGAAGATGCCAGCTGGTGTTGGTAGATAATTTGCATGTCTGCTGTTTGGCCCCAGGACCTGCAGATTTAGAGTCTTTGTTGTGCAATGCCAGCATGTTTTCCTGCCTGATACTAATCCTTACAACTTCTCAGCCTTCTGTCTTGTCAGCTCTCAAACCAGTCAGTGCAGTGTATGAAAATATCATCTCTCCTGTTGTTTCCTTGGGACAGGATGCAGGGGAGTCAGGTGTGGGGAATGAGTGTTTTAGGGTGCTCAGAGAATCACTGGAAAGGTATCGGGAAAAGCAGGTTTAATGTCAAAGTGAAAGTGTGCCAGAGTTCACTGGCAGTGGTCACTCTACCCTGTGCTACAGGGGTAAAGCACACAGAGACAAATCAATCAACCTAAAACTAAAATCAACACAAATGATCTGTGTGGAGGCTGGGGATAGGAAAAGGATAAGGGTAAAAAGGAATAAGGGAAACCCTCCCTTTAAGTTGACAACATTCAGAGTGGACCTCCTTGCCAAACTTCTCGGACTTGGCCAGCAGTTCAGGTCCAAGTACAGCAAAAGTGAGAGTTGGCTGGCTCTGAGAGGCCCCAGAAAGAAGGAGGTGCAGCCCGTGGTGGTCCTGGAGAGCTCAAAGGGGCATTAATCACCACATCAGGTCTTATCAAAGCCGCTCCACTACTTTGAGGACTGCCAGATCTCTGGGAGCTGAGTTCCTTGTAGCATGTCACTGCCAGTTGTCATCTGTTTTCAAATTCAGGTTAGCAATATCTGTCCCTTCCTTGCCTTTTCCTTTCTTATTTTCTGTCTCAGGTTTACTTTTCTCTTGTCCCCTGTGATTATGTGGAGTTTTCATCCAGTGGTGAGGAGCCTGTCATTTCCTGCCCCTGCTCTTTCTGAAGCACTGATCTGATGAATGCAAATTCCTTATTCCAGACTTCAGATGAGGTTCTCAGCTTCCTTACAGACAGTTGTGTAATGAAGCTGGAGTTGCTTGTCACGTCTGTGGGCTTTGTATGCAGTCAGGGGAGTAGAAAAATGCATCCAGGTAGTGGTTTGAGGGGCTGGTAAAACTGAACTCCTCACTGTGGGCAGTTATGTACTGAGTACCATCTCAGAGCAGCTCTTGATATTTACACTTAATTTCAGTCCAGATTGTTTCATAGGTGTATTTTGCTTTCCTTCCAGGATACACTGCTGATTACATGACCTTTGTGTGGTGCTATATTGTAACTGAACAGTTCTGCCAGCCTGTAAAATACAGCTTTTGACATCATCATTTGTGACTGCTTTTTGTGTAAACTGAGTAAATCAGGTTGCTGACAAAGGTATGATTAGACCTTAGTCGTGTGCTGATGGGAAGCTGGTTATTTACTCCATCCAGGGGCAGAAGCCCATTCTTACTACGTTGTGTGGGCTCAGTCTGCCCTGGTAGCTAAATAAGAAGTACAGGGAGCCTACTTCACAAGCCATGCTCATCTCTTGGAGCACAGAAGTCACACTGAAATTAGCTCTTGTTAATTTGAAATTAGGAGATTCCCTGAAACAATTTTGAAAGTTGAAGTAGTTTCTCAAAGATTTATGAGGAAAACAAATCGGCCTCCTCTGTGTTCTGCCTTTAGAGAAGATCAGAAATAGAGGTGGGGATTGGAAGTTGAGAACTCGCAATTCCTGGCTCTTCATACTAATTATGTAAATCATTGGTGTGTCTTAGAGTCCTTTTGGGTCATCTGTTAATATCAACACTTCGTTTTTCAAAGAGGGTACTCTAACTGGACGTTTATCTGGTCCATAATATTTAAAAGGGAAAAAACCCCACTCTTAACCATTCGGAGCTGCAGGTATTTATCCATCATTTTTGCTGCTGTGAATCACAGTGAACTGAATCAGATCAAATTTGAACTCAGATGGCACTAGAAATGTTTGTGTCTTCCTGTGTGGCCATGAGAATGTTTGCCTCTGAACTGAAGAAGATACAGGGGTCCCCATATTACCAGAATTGCAGGCTTGACTAAGAGGACACAGTTGGCCTTTGCATGAATTGTGCTGTAGTGTGGGGGCTGGATTTTGGGAAAGGTGTTCATGATACATGCATGGTAATGTCTGAGGAGTAGACCTGGGCATCCTCTATATTGCAAGGCAAGGGAAGCAAATTTCCTTGAGAAAGAACAAAGACTGGTTTAGAAGATTCCTAGCACCTCCTTGACTAACAGGGTAATTTGTGTAGCCAGAGCCATTCCCCTCTGCACTTGGCAGGCGTGGGAGAGGCGCTGCAGCACGTGCTGGCATTCTGGCAGTGAGTGTGCTCCCAGCAAAGTGGCACTGCCCATTCGGTGTGGGAGTGTGAGCTTTCCTGAATGCAGGGCTGATTGTGCCAGACAGCTATTCATAAACAGATTAACTTGGTGTTCCTCAAGCGCTGTTGTCTCTGCTCCTTTCTTGTAAGCCGTTTCTGATTGTGTTGAGCCAGCAGCACGTCTGCTGATTTCATTCATGTGTTCAGCTGAAGAATGATAGTCACACTGCTTTTCAGGCTGAAAAAACCCACATCTTTTTCACGTATACAGTTTCTTGGCCACAAGTTCATTGAAATGCCTAGATATTGGATTTCAAATAAGGGAAGGGTAATTTAGTATACTGGATTTCCAATTGCTTGTTTTGTTTGGCTGTGTCTTATCCTGCATGTCATCCTTTCTCAGATGTGTTTTCTTGTTACTTCTCATTTCTCTTGGTGCTGAGATGTCCACTGTGATGTGTAAGGAGATTTAATATCAGCTTTTAGACAGCAACCATAGTATTTTATGCTGAGAAGTGGTTGACTCACAGCCAAGCTGAAGATGATAAGCAAATGCAGCTTATCAAACAAACAACTTGAAACACACCAAAAAACAATCAACAGGCAACCCCCCCCCAAACCCTGAATTAACATTTTGATAGAATTCAGGAGGAAGATCCTCTTCCTTCCTGGAAAACCTTAGGCTAGCAGTGTGTATTTTTTCTTTCTTTGAATAGCTTCTGTAATACATCCCTCAGGTAAGATAGGAGTTGATTTAAGGACTTAATAGTTGCTGGGGAGTTGTAAGAAGTAAGTATCATGCTTAATTCTGACCCTTCCCTCTGTAATTAAAACAGTTGGATGTATGTGTTCTCTTTTTCTGGACTAGGATCAGGATCCAGGAGTGAAAACTGTCAGCCTAAGCAATTGAGGGTTTTTGGTTTTGGGTGTGTTTTTTTTCTTTTTTATTTTTTTTTAAATTGTTTGTTTTGTTTGTTTGTTTTTTGTGGTTTTTGTTTGATTGTGTTTTTTGTTTGGTTTGGATTTTTTTTTGTTTTAATAGCTGTACCTGAATAAGTAAAGATTTTAAATGTACTCTAATGATGGCCATTTAAGAAAACAATTGCAGCAACTTCTGTATATTCATGAATTTGATGCCATGCACTGCTTTTTATTTTATAAAATTCAAGTAGTTTCTATAAAACTAGTCCAGTTACTGTATTATAAATGTTAGTGCAGAGATATGGAGAAAGTTCCTGTGCTCAAACAAGTAATTGCTTTCAGTCTGGCAGTTTGGAGCAGCTGTACAGTAACTCTGTGATGAACAGGAGCAGATGGTTCTGTTCCCCCTCCCCCAGATTATGATAAATCAGAGATGGGCTGTGAAAATACTGTTGATTTCTCTTTGGCTTGGGTGTTTTGGTAGTTTACAAGTCAAGCAATAGTTGAGGCAGTGGTGATGGTAACAGCTTCCAGGTATTCTTCCGTTCAAGCTTTGGCTCTGGAGGTCATTCTCAGGTGTGCAGTTGTTGTCCCCTCATAAAATGTCTCTCTTGCTGGCACACAGGCTCTGTGAGGTGAGCTGGCAGAGTTTTCATCTGCAGTGGAGGAAGAAGATGCAAGTCCTTAATGTGCCCTGTAAGAAGAGTGGCAGACTGAGGGGATCCATCGCCTGCAGTCTGTTCCTGGGATTAAATCACACCCTGCCCAGACAGCTTCTGTCTCTGTTTTTCCTTGCTGGTTTTTTTTTTGTTGTTTTGTTTTTGCTTTTGAAATGAAAAGGGCAGTGTATCAGTGAGAGAAGAGTGGTGCACTGTGTCAGGCTGTGGTCTCCTTTTGTCTGGCATGTTCTTTGAAGTAGAATTTCCCTTTTTCTTTAATCTCAGAAAGCTGTGTGCCGAGTCTTTACAAATCCCAGGGAATAACCATATTTAAAGTTGAGGTTGAGAAGGAGTGAAGCAGGAATACATACTGCTTAGAAATGCAGATTTCATTGCATGTTATTTGCAACAAATTATATATGTAATTATATATGAAAGGGAGTCCTTGGAGCTCATAGCTACTTTTATACGTTGTTGGCGTTTTCAACTAAAATTTGTTTGGCCACCCCTGAGAACTGCATCTGCAATAAGATTAAAACCTTCAGATCAAAATGAGGAATAACCATATATAACCTTTGGCAACTGCATATGGAATAATGCTCTTTATTCCTTTGCCAGTTTTGCTTTCCTTTCTGAACTATCTGCTCTGTATTGGTGTTTGCTGTGAAAATTACCCACGTGTTCATTAAGCATATGAAGAAGGAAGGCAAAAGAAGCTAATTTAAAGGCAAAAAAAAACCCCAAAACTTTCATAAATTTAGAATACTTAATAGAGCAAGATATCAACATAAATTTGAACTGTTCTCTTAGGGCCCCATGTGAATGTCCATACAAAGGCCGAAAAATCTGCTGTGTGAAGATAGCTATAAGTTCTGATAAGGTGGTTGAGGTGCAGCTAAGCCTGGAGTGTTTTTCATGCCACAGATGCTTTGGATTTAGGAAAATCTTTGGACTTGTTTTCTTGCGAGGTCCCAGTTACTGCTGTATCCTCTGCCCTCTTCAGGCTTGGTGAGTGCCAGAGGGGAAGGCAGTTTTGGTTCCCAGCAGCAGCAGCACTTTGCCCTGGGTGTGTGTAGGGGGGTGTGTGCGAACAGCAGGACCTCAGGCATCCACCCAGCCCCTCTGGAAAGCCCAAAGAGTGGGTGTGTAAGAGCAGTGCAGCTCCCCTGCATGCCTCCCCATAAATATTGTGACAGAAGCACTGGTTAGTGCTTCCCTTCTCAATTTAATTCAGCTTGCTGCAGACCTTTTTAGCTTCCTTATCTCCTTCTTTGGGAAATAGGGTATTGTACACAGTAAACAGCCCTACAAAGCCTATCCTAAAGCTGGCACATTGGGGTTTTGTGTAGCAGAGCTTGGCTGGGGGCTCCAGGGGGATGCTGTGTGTTGGAGCACAGCACGAGACTTCCCTAGGCCTGGCCTGGAGCGCAGGGCTCTGGATGCAGAGCTCTATCTGAGGATGTGGCTTCCTCACAGTGGCTCCAGCTCAATCCCCTGAACACTTGCCCTGCCCTCGGTGACCCAGCAGAGATGTCCAAGTGTTTTCTCTCAGATGCAGAGGTGTGGAGGGCAGTGCTCCCTGGAGCTGCCAGGTGTGCCACTGGCCAGCTCGGGGCAGAGCAGCAGCTTAACCTGCCCTTCCCCTTCTGTGGTGGGGGGTGAGCACACACTGCAGCACCTGTTCACACCTGGTGAGGGATCCCAGGCATGGCAGGGAGTGCTTTCTAAGTGAAGGTCTGATCTCTGCTCAGTGTTTTTATTTGCACATGCTCAGTGCTAGTTTGTTACAGCAATTCTGTGTTTCCTGCTGAATGGACCTTGTGCTGGGCACTGACACAGTCCTAGGCCAAAACCAGTCAGTGATGAAGATTGGTCCTGCTGGAGGGAGTTAGAGCAGAAACTCTGGAATGATGTGTGGCTGGCTTTGTGTGGAGCTGGTGTATCAAATGCTTTGTAGGTGTCAGAGTTTGCTGTGAAAGCGTGGCCCGTGCTGTTCCAGATCTTTCCCTTGTTCAAATTCCAACCTGACTTTTACGGTTTCTTGCAGGCCAGCCCTCCAGATCTCTATATTGAAAGATTTAACATAGCTCTTGGACAGTATATGGGAGCATTGCAGAGCATTGTGCCTCTTTTCATATATATGGTAAGTTTTAGAAAATTCTTTTCAAATAAATATGTCCGTACATGAGATGCTGACTGAAAGTGAGAAGAATAAATTGCAGCTATAATGATTTTTGACATGTAAAGCTTATCATTCATGCCTGGTGTTGCTACCTGCCTAACAGTACTGATCAAGTTGTATGGGGAGAGAAAAGGGAAGCTGGGCTTCTTAAATGTAGAGTTTTCTAGTTCTTTCCTGCCCTAACAATTCTTTCCTGGGAGTGGGAAGAGTGGGTTTTATTGTGATCAGGGAAAAAACCCACCCCAAATAATTTATTATTTGTATCTTTTTGAACAGACATCATTTATTGGCTTGTTACATTTTGGCTTCTTAGTTTGGGCAGATTATGGAGATGATGATTTCTTGCTTTTAAATAGCACAGATTCAGACAAGACAGGAAGAAATGTATCTTGGAAATGTTGTCATTTGATAAAGCAGTTTAGAGTGTTGAATGGATGAAGACAAGCTTATGTTCATAGCACTGTCAGGGATACTTGAAAAGATTTAGAAACCTTTGGTTTTAAGAGGTTTTGTGTTGATTTTATAGTTTATGAAATCTTTTATATCTCTGAAGACGTTTATAATTTGCGGATGTTTTTTCAAAGTGCCAAGACTTTTATTGGTTGGGGGCTTTTCTGTGGTAATGAATAACTTAAGCTTGAAATTTGTCCTTGCATTGGCTTCACTTAGAAATAATTAAAAAAAGACTTATTTGTTGGGAAAGAAACTTTTCAAAAAAACTTTTAAGTGCTTTACATTAAATAAACCTCAAACTTTTCAAAATGCTTCTCTTTGGTAGTTTCTCAGAGTTTGGGAAGCTGTATCTTTTGGAGGTTCTCCTACATTTCATTGACTGTAGGTAGCTTGCTACAGTCTTTGAGTGTTGCCAAACAGATTTGTTGCATTAAAAGAGGAATTTGCCTTTCTGGAACTGGGTGACTCTAACCTGCTCTTTTATCTGGTAAATACAGAATAGAATCCAGTTGCTCCAGCATCACTTTTAAGCTAAGGGATGTGTTCCTCTGATGATTTTTTAGTTGTTCTCTTGCTTCCTGTTGTGAAATGCTGGGGTAAACTAGGAAGAGACTTTTTTCCCTGTTGCATCCAGATATTTTTGGATGGTACCCACTTTGTGACCTGTGTGTGCATAACTTGTTTATTGCAGGCCGGTGTTTGAGTGACCTCACAATTTAATACCCATTTTCAGATGGAGATAAGCTGTTCAGGTGTGTACTCTATTGAATGCTCACTTCGGTGGTGGTCTCCCATCACAGAAGTCGAAATTTGTCCTCCACAATTAAGACTGCAGTAGCTAATATTGAAAAACTGTTCATGACAGACATAGGAACAGGTGGGTTTTATCAGTACAGGGTTTTCCTCTCTGACCAGATGAGGTATAATTGGCAAGTAGGTTTCCACATCTTTCTTTGTACACAGTTAGGATGAGGTGTTCGTATCTGCAGGTGATCTTGTATCTTGTTTATATTAAAGTTTGACTCTGGTACCTGAACATACTTTCACTGAAATAAGTTATTAATCAGTGTTGTGCATGATGTGGAAAATATCTCTAAAGAAGTCAGGATTGAAAATGTTTGTCTCTCTTAGTTTTTTCTGTAGGCATTTGCAAGTACTTTTGTGTACAGATACTCTGGCAGTCTTACACTGTAGTGTCCAATCCAGTTTTCTCTTATACAGCAGCAGCAGTTTCCTCTGTTTGGACAAAAAAATACAATTAAAAAACAATTTCAAGAGGTGAAAGCCTAATTGCTCTACACTGTAAATTGCAGCTTTGCAGTTACTTTAACAGATACTTTCAATGCATTTTTAAGTGAGGAGGACTAAGTTGTTGAACTCTGCCTTTATATCAGAGGTGACAGAGCTTTCCTTCCCTGTGATTGCTTTAATCAGGAGTTTCCAAGGCTGTTGAATTGCACTTCAGAACCTGGTTCTGAAAGGATAATTACGTTGCTGCTTTGGGAAGCTTTTAACATGCATTTAAGTACTTTAAAATATGTGAAGCTGAGGAAAAAGTGAAGCTTTTCTGTCGAACTGGAAGGTGCCTTAGTGTTTGGTGTTGGGCTGAGCCCTGTGTGTTGACAGCAGCAGCAGCACCTTCCTTTGCTTTCCTTATGCTGCTACAGCAGACTTTTCAGAAAAGCAGGGAGACCCAAAGTACTTTGGTCCCTCTAAGATTCCGTGGGTTTAGGCTCCTTCAAAAGTTCTGGAATGTAACAGAAGATAAAGCAAATTAAGCTGGAAGTAAGCTTAGTACACAGTGCTTTATTCCTAGTGAGTAACTGTTTGCTTTGTAAATGTAAATGAGGCTATTCTGCATGCTTAGAGATTGTACACATCACATTATGCTACACACATAAATGAATAAGAACCGTATTTCCACTTCAATGAAAATTAAAATCAGCATTTAGATAATGTATTTTTTTCTTACAGATTCTCAATTGCTCGTTTTACTTAGAGATGTAGAAGAAAATCTGTTACCTTGATGCATTATATGAACTTAACATTTGTGAGCACTGTGGTTTATGGATAGTTAAGAATTTTTTCATTGCCTCTAAAACATTATTATTCTTACTGGGTGGTATTGCACTTTGTTGGTTATCAGCTAGAGGGCATTTTGTGTGTGTCTGTAAACACAAATATATGTGAGTATGCACATGTGGAGGAAATGATAACCGTTCCCATATACTGGTTTTTCTCCTTTCAAGTATTTATTGATCTCATCTTAATAATAACTCAGTTATATCTTTTAAGATTTGCCAGATTGCTTTGTGATACGGTGTCGAATTGTTTCGTAGAATAAGTGTTTGTATCATACCTGGCTTTCTCAGTTAGCGGTGTCTGCTTCCCTTTTACCTGTCACTTAGGCCTTTAGGGGACTTGAGACGTTTTTCAAGAAATGCTGGTCCAGCCTAGGTAGTGGCATGTTATACAGAAAATCTTCCTGTTTTTCCACTACTAAGAATGGGGAAGGTGACAGCTCTTCTGCCATCTCCTTTCACCAGCGTGGATTGGAAGTGGAGTACTTATGTTAGATGATTTTTTCACTGTCTATTTAAACTCCCACAAGTGTACCATCTTTTTGGAAAGGTGTTTCAAAGTGAGCAGATGTGAATAGTGTTTTACATCTGTTCTGTGTGTAAGTGCTATCTTATAGCTGCTGGGTTGTTTTGGTTTTTTTAAATTATTTTTATGTTGCTTTTCCACTACTGAAACTTAAAAGTCTAGGCTAAAAGGCAGCATCAGAGTTGCACCTGTTGTTGCCAGCTCCTTTTAATGTCCAAAGGTCTTGAGGCTGGGGAAGGACTGGAGTGAGTTCTGTCCTTAGCTGGGAGCCTCTCATGTGCCAGCTCCTCAGGGTTAGCAGTTTGACATGTGTGACAAACACAACTGCTGTTTGTTGCTCCTGTGGGTACTTGGGGTTGTGTGGTCAGGAACCTCGAGGTGGGAATGCTTTAGGAACATGGTCTGGTGAAGGACTGGAGCAGGGTGTGTATCCTAACACTGCCTTGGAGACACGGATCTCGAGTTGCTGTGGATTTCTGTTGCACTGGCAATTCACCACTGACCAAAACCATCACCAAGGAAGTCAGTCTGTTCCTCATGAGACAGGTTATTCTGTCTGCAGAGTGTTTCCTCAGTCTCTGTTCAGAGAACAGGTCCAGGTGAGGGGGAAACAACTGAGTAATAAAATAGCCCTTGATAAAATCTCTGCAGGTGTTGGGGGGAACCACCAGCAGGAAGTTCACTAAATTAAAAAAATACCTTTCTGAGGTTGTTGTCCATCACTGCAACAAACCTAAACTGCAGCAGGGGCATGGATTGAGCCCTCAGATGGCCTTTGTTTCTAACAGGTTCAGGTTTTATTACACATAAGTAACTGCTGCTGAAAGCTTGCCTTGAAAATTTAAGTGGTTTCTTCATGGACAGCGTTGTGGTGTGTTTATAGTTTTGCTGATGGCCAAGGGATTGGGTCTCACAGAAACATGTAAAGATTGCTCTAATAGTGTTCTGAGAGTTTGTTCCAGTTTTGTTAAATGCTTCAGGAGAACAACTTGATTTAAAATCTGAAAAAAACCTTTCTTCCTTAAGATATCCCTTCCTCTACTAAACCTGTCAGATAAGGGTTCCTGCATGTTATTTTTGAGTTTGTTTTCTATTAGATAATCTGTTGAACTCTTACACAAGTTGTCCAGTTGAATTCAACTGTCCTACTTCAAAGTTAGCATTTTAATGAGAGGAGACTTGTCTTGGAGCAATTATTTTTTTTCCCACCATTTAAAACACACCTATCAATAAAATACAGCAAGAAATCTTACTATTAACTGCAGGCTGGGAACTGAGGAGTAATTCTGAATAGTACATTAGGTACAGGGGCTCTGAAGGAACTCATTAATAGAATTTTCTTTGATTTTTTTTTTTCTTCAAAGAAGTACATTTATTATTAAAGCTGAGTAGGTCAAGATAATGGAATCCTAAAAATTTTAATGTAGTTCAGTTTTGTCCAGATTTGTATATATCCCTTATTTCTACAGCTGATTAATTCTGAGTAGCTCTCCTTTGAGATTGTCAATGAACCACTGAAGTGGATAGTTGTACTGATGATTTATTATTGTAACCTACCTGTTTTAATGGCTTAATCACTTTTAGACACTGGCAGAAATACCCAAGTCATCATTTTACAGGTGAAATATTCTACAGCTTTAAAATTCTGACCTGTTTTTGTTCAGGGGGAAAAAAAAAGTTTACTTTATTTGCTGTTGTGAGAAACAAACTTGAAAACTTCTGTCTTATTTTCCAGAATAAATTTTACATAGAAACCAAGCTTAACAGAGACTTAAAAGATGACCTTATAAAGCTGTTTACGGAACACGTTGCAGAAAAGCACATTTACAACCTAATGCGTAAGTAAACCCCTTGAGTTCTTGTTATGATGGGAGTGTGGAAAGCCACAGTGCTTTCAGATATTGCAGAGATCCACAGCAAACAGGGGAAAATTGCAAATGAATACAGATTCCTCTAGGGCATGAGGAAATGTGGCACACTTGAACTTTTTTTTTCTCTCTCCCCCCCCTTCCCCCCCAAATGAGACTTTCTACAAAGTGGTGGTTGCCTTGAGATCTGAGGGAACAAATGTTTGCTTTCCTGTATGGCTTGTGATTATGACGTAAGGCAGGCAGATCAGATCTCCTGGGGAATAGCAGAGCCATGAGGAATCCCCAGCCCTGGGCCTCACATTTTATTCTGTGCCAAAGAGAGTCAACAGTGTCATGAAACCCAGTCAGATCCTTGCTGCAACAGGATCAGGGAAAATTCAGGGGATATCGCCTTAAAATTAAATAACTTTTGTGTGTGAGTTTTTCAGGCGAAGAATTATTTTTTTTCCCAATGACAGTGCAAAGGTAATGCCGGTCAAACCTCTGACATAAGCGATGTCAGATGTTGTTGCTATGTAATTAACTTTCTGTGGTGATAACAGCATATTCAAATAGAAATTGCAGATGAGCTGTTGAAAGGAAAAGACCTGTGGTGGTGGTGTGTGTGTGTGTGAAATCGGAAATACCTCCTCCCAGCTCTGCTAATTGCAGGAGTAAAATGAAAAGAAAACACTGAAAAATAAGAAGTAAGCTGTCACTGACTGTGTTGCTGTATATGGAGTCTCTTGTTTATTGAGTGACTTCCTTGGATTCATTTCAGGCTGACTGTCAATTTATTTAAACAAAATTATTTAGACTGTAAATACTGACATGTATGATCTGTGATCTGAATTGGTTAAATCTTGTGTAAGAGGATCTTTAAATTGAGTTAAAGAATGCCTGAGTAAAATTCTAAGCTTGCTAACAGCTTCCTGGGAGATAACTGAAGATAGCCAGCACATGATACAGTACTGTAGAAGTGCTGGAAAGGTTCTAGTGTTGTATTTTTTTTTCTGCCGTTCTCAGCTGTTCTTTGTGGCTTGCTGGAATTCAGACCATAATAGATCAGAATATTACCTTCATTTTTGGAAGTGTAAGGGCTCTATGAAAACAGGATAGAAGTCAGTGTTTGTTATTTACTTTACTTCCCAATGTCAGTCTGTGCTGCTGTTTCCTGATGTTTGATACAGACTTGGTTGAGCAAAAAAGAGTTGCTGTGTTACGAGAGGGGAAAAAATACCGTTATGGATGGATATGATTAGGAAATTAAAGTCAGGGAAATTATGATCTATAGAGAGAAATGGAATCCTGGGGCTGTTTTTTAAAGAGATGCTGCAACTGCCACTTCAGTGAGAGGAGAAGCATGCCTTCCCTCTGCCTGAAAAAACAAATTACAAAATTGGCTTAATCCGTTTGTGATCTAGACTGGAGGATAAGAGTAACATCTGCTCTTGCTCTTGAAATTTGTTGCTATGTTTTTCTGTCCAGAGTGGGTTTTGTTTACAGTACTTTGTCATTCTATCAGAGCCTGGAAGCTGGCATTTTCATTTGAAATTTTGTCCAGGAAGGACTGTTAAGTACACTTCAGGTTCATCTGATTTTTGAACAAAGTTCCTGCTGCGCCTCAAAAAGACAGAGAAACAAAAAGAGTCAGAAGGGCAGTGGGACACAGACGTGGCCCTTGGTGTTGATGTTGCCCAAAGCTCCCCGGGTGCCTGTGCTGGTGGCTGCAGGCAGGGAGGTGCAGGATGAATGGCCCTGCTGTGGTCTCCCTGGTGGGAGCGCTTCTCTGAGCACTCAGATGCAAAAAATGGAGTGAGGTGTCAATTCATCACTTACAGAGGAAATACTGCCTAAGTGAACATTAATTGAACAAATTCTTCCTGCACAAATGCTGATTCGGTTCCACTTTGGTTTTGATAGAGGAAACTTTTTTAAAACAGCTCTCTCCTGTCTAGAGTACATCTCATCAGATAAAGTAAATGCATAACCAGAATTATACCTTGCAGAGATCCATGAACATGGTTGTGTCTGTGAAACACTTTTGCACTCACACATTATTTATCAAGTCAGTGCTCTTCAAATTAAGGAGGGTACATTTAAACTAAGTGAATATAGCCTGATTATTTTTGTTACAAAGCCAAAGCTGGCTCCTGTAAGTAAGACTTCTATATTTGATGGCTTGGGAGAAGTTGCTGTGTGCAGAACTACTTTTAACTGAATATAATAAGCAAAGATACAGCATCTTATTTATAAGGAGCTTCAGAAATGAGCACTGGGAGTAGGAGGATACAGATAATAACCCCATGTCACTAGGGAAGGGGTGGTGGAGAATGTTGTCGTCGTTCCTGCTGCACCTAATTCCAGCTACTGCATCAGGTGACTTGTAAGCAGAAAAACTCAGAAATAAGTGTGTTTTCTCCTTATGGAGCCACTGTCTCTTCTGGTAGTCCTGCACTGTAATCTCCGTGCCCTGGAAACATCCTGCCTGTTTGTTCTTGTCTAGAAAAATTACTATGTGAAAGTGAATAACAGCTCCTGAAACTCTGCTTCTAGTACTTGCAGTAGGTAAAAATTCAATGGCAGGGAGTATTTTCAAGTAGCTGCTATTCTTCCTTTTTGGCTGTTGGCAGCTTAGTGCCCCAAACAAGGTTGCTTTTGTGTCTAACAGAAGGCAAAGCTATTAAGAGCGTCCTGTTGTGTCTCCTGGGTGCAGGGATCACCTGGGTTCTGATTATGTGATCCTGCAGTTATCCCTGTTCTCTGCCCGAGAATCGAAGAGTTGCAGGCTGGAGTCTTGCTCGGGCAGATTGGTGAGGGGCTCAGCACCTCCACACTGAGAAACAGCAGCAGTAACTAAAACTGGTCCTGCAGCTGAAGGCTGGTTTGGAGGGCAGCCTCAGTAGGAGTGTGCTACTGATTTGCTGACGGTGGTGTTTGTGGGGGAAGTAAGGATGGATCAGATTGATTGTGGCACTTCCCAATAAGTGGTAGCCTTAGCACGTCACTGCAGCACTTCAGCCATTCCTGTGGCTGTGTAGGAGCTGTTTCTTATATTTTAGTATTTTGGGAAGTGGTTATTACTCTTGTAGGAGCAATGTGCAGCTAGACACCATTCAACACGAGATGGTTCTTCCCAAAGAAGCATCTGCCTGCATTTCTGTGCAGTAGTTACCCAAGTAGGAAGTCAGGTGATCTTTATCAGAGGGCAAACTGCTTTCCTCAGCACTTCTGGGTCTGTTCCTGTTGACTGGGGTCACGACAGCATCAGCTACTGAAGGCTGAGCGTACAGAGTGCCTACTCCATGTCCATTCTAACATATATGGGCAATTGCTGAGTGTAGTTCGTGTCAGTGCTTGTGTGAGTTCACAGCTAAAACACAGTGTAGGAATGTATCACACATGTTTACCAAAGTAGAAGCTTTTCTCATGGTTTTCCAAGAAAAAGTTCTTTGAAAAAAGTCTGAAGGAGGGAGAGCACTCACAGCTTACTTCATTCAGTTAGCAGTTTCTAGTTAGCTACACAGAGTCTTCTCTCTGAAGATTCTTCCATGTGACAGCTTTGTTCCTTTCTAGTTAGGTCATTTGGATTCAGATGAGATGAAGAGTTCCTGTTGTTCTGTTTTCCTAATTTTTATTTTTTAGTTGGAGGGGTATTAAAGTTCAACAGAGGACTGTTTTTGTTGGGAAAGCTTTTCTTTTATGAAGACGTCAGGAAGGCTATTTCTACTGCATTGCTGTTTTCTAAAAAGTGCCAGAAAAGTGAGTGTGAAAGTTGGAAAAGATTGCCAGCATCTCCCTAAGAAGTTGCCCAACTGCCCTTTTTGGTTCAGAAGGTAGAAATCCAATGCAAAATTACCGAGGAGGAAGCTGGTTAGAGGTTGACAAATGTAGCAGGGGGATGTTTCTTGAGCAGGGGTTTTCCTGGCTGTGCAGTGGCTGAGCAGGAGTTTGTTGCTCTGTGGGCACCCAGCCCTACGTATTTAGCAGATGTGTTTGCTGTGTTGACCTCCAGAAGCCTGTTGATGTCAGTGAGGGAAGGGAGCCTCATCTCTTTGGCTGTGTGCTGCTATGACATAATGCCTTTTGTTAATAAATTCCATATCCAGCCTTTGTTTGTGAGTACAAAATTCTCTGTTTGAGAAGAGCAGTGTAAAAGGCTGAGAGAAGGACTGTGATTGATGCCAAGTTCATGGCCTGACTGTACAGCTACAACAGAGACCACAGGGTTTATTTTGATGTGTGCTGGGTTTTTTTATTCACTCTATGCCTCAGCCTTTGGCAGAGATAGACAAGGAAAATATGGATTGGATTGACACCCTGCTTGAGGTGGCATTTCTTTTCCCCCTTTGATTTTGACATCTGTCTCAAACAATCCGTGTATGAAAAGCAACCTGTTATTGTCTTGACACTCAAACTGCTGGGAAAACCCCCTGAAAAGGGGAGAAAACACTCATCATTTTTCATCTCCACGCAGAAAGCATTGCCCCCACCCTTCCTGTCTGCTGCTGCCCTTCAGATTGACATGCAGGGAGTTGCTCTTTGTGCTTCTCGTTTCCATGTCAGATCTAAGGACTGTGTCTCATAAGAAAATAGCAGTTACTTTGAGTGAACGTGTTCTTGAATGTCTGTTTGGAGCTGGCTTTGATGAGAAGCACTGAGCATCATTATAGGTTTGGGGCCATGGAAGATCGATGACCACAGGCTGATCTGAAAGGATTTCACTGCACGCTTTAGGCTTCATCTGCATTAGTAAGTGGAGTGGTGTAAAGGGAGCAGGTCTGCAGAGGGTGAAACACTTACGTGATCAGGAGCCAGTTTTGGTCTTCACATGCTTTTTGGAGAGTTCCATTCCACACCTGCTGCTGCCTGGCCCTTTGGAGAGAATTCCGGTTTGCAGCAGTTCAAGCACATCTGGTTCACTCTTGCCCAAAAGGAATTAAAGTGATATTCTCCAAGGCAGCTCTGTCATACCAGCCAAGCAGCAGTGAGTGGGTATGATCAGTGAATTTGCTTCAAAATCACATTTCTAATCTGAACTGAAGCTTTAATACAGAAACTGCCCTTAAGCATTTTAAATCACTGTTCTTTTTTTCTTTGAGACGCAGAGTGACTACTGTGATGACAGAACCAATATGTTTCAAAGATGGCCTTTTTTTTACTGAGTTTTTTCACTGATTACTGACTTTTTTAGTGATTACTGAGTCCCTTCTGTAACATATTGAGTGTTACTCAGCCCCTGGACAGTGCTTTGCTTTTTCCTAAAAGTGTGTGAAGTCAGTATGAGAAGAAAATCTGTACAACTTCGTTCTGTCACCTTCACAAACTGTTTCTTCCTTTTTAAGCTTAAGAATGACACGGGGGGGGAAAAAAAAGGTAGATTTCTTTAAAAAATAAACATTTCAAAAGGCAGAATTACTGGCCTGTGGAGTGACTTGTTCTCTGTCTTTACAATTAGCCTACGTGTCAGGATAGGTAAAATGAAATGAGAAGGTTCCTTCCTCGGGGTCCTAAAACTGAAGCGAGGCAGCAGAGCACTGGTAGAAAATACTGATTCATTCCAGCCTAAAGCAGGGGGATTTCTGTTAGAATTCTTCTAAAACAAAAAAACTGGTGTACCCTTTTTGTCAGCTGCGAAGCTGTGGAAACACCAGCTTCTGACAGATTTGGGGGGCAAGAGGGTTCTGTAGCATAAAGAGTCCTTTTGTGAGATGGAGGGAAGGGATGTATTTATTCTCAGGTTCTTGATTCAAGGTAACTTTTAAAGATTTTTAAGCATCTGTAGTATTGTGAACTTGTTCAATATTTAATTTCTAGCTTATTTTGCATAGGCAAATAGTTCAGTGTTATTACAATTTACAGGTAAATTTTGTCTCTGAACTAAACCTTTCATCAAAGAGCTAGCTCACTTTTGAAAGTTGTTTCATGTTAAGTCTCAGTACCTCACATTAAGTTGGAAAATACAGTCTCAGGTAATGGCCATCGTGGTCAATCTGCCTCCTTGGCAAAGAAATAGCAATAATGTTCCCATTTCAATAAGCCTTCACAGAATTATAAACGTGAAAATACCACCTTATTTCCCAATTATAGAGGTCCAAAAGCATATATTCCTACATTTATGGCATTGTTTTTCATATTTTTTTTCTTTTTCGGTGCTGAATATTTTCCATGTGATTAAGACTCAGAATTTTTGTTTTGTAGCATTTTTATGAGATACTTAATAAAGCTTTTGGTGTAGGTAATGAATATTTTAAAAGTAATCTGTGGCTTTATTAGATGCCCAGTAGCAAACGCTTAGTAATGAATAATAAAGACAACCTTTTTAATATTTTTTTCTGATCTACATTATAATTCATTACAAACTTATAAAGAATTTAAGTTAGTAAAAATTTATTTTTAACTCTGTTTAAAGGAAAATGAAAAGGCAGGATCATAAGGAGGTGGATGAAACTGCCAATGTGCAGTGCTCTGCATGGGCTGCACTGGATTGATGCCTCAGTTGTGGAAGCTCTTGGAGCTGCTTTTAATGGGAATATGGTTTATGTTTTTTTCAAGTGCACTGTTGAATAATTACAGCTTTGAACACATCTGCTTAGGTCATACTTATGTGTGATTTGTTAAAATAGCTTACTTTGAAGTTACTGCAAAGGGAGCAAAAAAACCATTGTTTTACTGACGTGCAAAAGGTTCACTGTCCTGCCAGAAAAGTTACATCTTTGCTAAGCAAAATAAATCTATTTTCAAAGGAACGATGAGGGATAGAAAAAGCCTTTTAGAACAGCTGACCCTTTTGTTTTTGCAAGTCAGTCTTGAGTTACGACCACGTGAATCTGAACACTGCTACTCCTGGAACTGCTGGGGTCCTGGATCTTGTCCCAGGTGCTCCTCTGTAATCAGGAAGTGGCTTGAACATTCCTTGAAGGATGAGGTTCTCCAGTGCTCCTGAGTGATAGCGGGGTAACTCGGTTCCTGCAGGGTACCTGAAGTGTTGCAGGTTTGTACCTGTTCATCCTCTGCGCCTCAAAAACCCTCGAGGCTGTTTTGGGTATTGTCTCTTACCTCAGTTCAGGAACATCTCAGAGCTTCTTGTGTCTTTCTGCAGTTAAAGCATTTCATCGTGGGAATCCACACTTCCTTGATTCTGCCATGAGTTATTTTCAAGACTATTTACAGGTTAATTAACCCCTTTGCATATTAGTTACTTACTCTGTATGATGTGATGTTAGTGCAGGAACACTGTGGGGGTGTTCAGGTATTACCACAGTGCCATTACCACTGTCATTCAGCTGAGGTTTAGGTTTATTCTGCCTCACCACCCTCTATCATCTTTGTAAATGCTGCAGGTGGGAGTAGGTAGGAGTCTGTGCAACCTCTGTCTTTCAGGGTCTCATTAGTTATGCTAATGAAGCAAGAGGCAAAACCTTAGCATTTGTTAGTCTTAGTCTTTTGTAAGATTGTGAGGTGTAGGCTGGGTTAGTTTACACTGTATGGTTCTTCAATTTTCTTTATTGAGAGGTGGGAAATACATGCCATTACTTTGTTATATTGTTGAATATGATACTATCATGCTTGTGTTTACTGACTGTAAATCAGGAGTGATTTACATTTGCACTGGAGCAGGATATGAATGCACTTGCAGAGACCAAGATAAGAAATGTTAATGTCTGAAGCTGCAATAAAGTGATGAAGTTTTTTTTTTGTTTTAAATAATTTGTTTTACTTAGGTTAGGAGTGTAATTTAATGTCTGTATGTACAGAGCAAATTCACAGTTCTCTGGCCACTTGGCAAACCTATTGGTGAAGCTGAGGCTGAAGTAGCCACAGTCTAACCAAAGACACACATATTTTATACCACATTGTTTGGATTGTGCATTACTGTCACATTATAAAGCATTATGCCCGTTTTAATTCTGTGATTTGCAGCTTAGTTGGCTGTCAAGAGGCTGTGTGAAAAATCTTTAGGAAAGAGCCTGTTTGAAACATCTTTAGGGAAGGGGCTGTAAATATGTCATTACGAAACAAATCACAGGCTCTCACACCCTCAAGGCTTCAGCTGAAATGAGCAAGCACTTTTAAGATGGTTCTTTGTAAAATAAATTCATCTATAACACTTAAATATAACAACTTTGATTACTTGAAGGTTAGAAAAAATACTTTGTTTTAATTTCCCTATGACATGAGCCACTTAACCGGCTTCAGAAAAGCTGAACATGCTACTGAAGATTTTTCTTTTTATGGTAAGTGCCATAGTGGCAGATGCTGAAGCTGGGACTGGAGATGCTCTGAAGCTTAAAAAAGCAAGAGTCTCTACAATGTGAGCCCAAGAGATGTGCCCTGATTATAAGTCTGTAATAGCCACAGAAAGGTGTCTGTACTGCTCAACTCCTTTGCAGACAAATGAAAACTGAGAGGCAGCAGTTGGTTTACATCTTCCCAATTTCTTGCACTTCTGTGTGTGTGTTTCTGTTATTCAGACGTAGGTGCAAAGTTCATATAAGCACACATCAGGATAAAGGCCAGCTCATATCATAGCACAAGTTGTAAATGTGCTATTGCCAGGTTTTTTCACAAGAAGACACAATTATTGCAATATTTACTACAGAAGATACCAAGAATGAGATTAAAATGTCAATTTGTGTTTGAAAGAACAGCTTTTCTTATTTGATGTTTACACTGCATAGACTTTCAGTCCATCCTTAGTTTTATGTACAAGATTTTAAATGCTGTAAAGTTGGGATTTGTGGATCTTCAGGTGTTTAACGCCCTCAGTATGAGAGTGCATCTAAAAATAAATTGTTTACTTCAGTTCTCTAGCTGAATGCTTAGAGCCATTGCTTGCTGAATTTTGCCTAAATAGGTTATTCCATGTTTTCATCATACCTGATTTGAACAGGATGCTTCTCTTTAAAGGTGATGTTTCATTACTGCAGGGAATTGAGTTGTCAGGTTCAGATTCCTGATCATTTGCTTTGTGAGGGCATCAGATACCAAAACCAGCACAGCTACTATATTTTTGCTGGAAAAATACATGTGTGAGAGCCTGTATTTCTTGGTTAGAAAAATTGCTGATTCTCCCCATTTTGTTTCAGCTTTACTTTTGGAAGCTCAGTCAAGGCCGTTTCAGATAACTCCTTCGACCATGGCAAACATTGTGAAGGGCCTGTATACACTACGACCAGGTAACCAGCAGGAGTGCTGCTCTCATATTGGGACATGTTTCCCTAAATATGTATTTTCCTACACTTGTACACTCTCTATTTAATGCACAGTTAACAGAAAAAACCTGACTTGTGTTCTGTCCATCGTAGTGCTTAAGTTCTGCCCTGGTTCTTGTTGCCCATCTGACCTGCACAAGGTACCATGAGAATGCCAAACACACTTAAAAAAACCAGCCCAACCCTCTGCTCTGCAGACAAAGGGCAGATCTGTATAAAGAAGTATTGAAATGGTGGAAGGTTGCACTTCAAACAGTCAGGTCTCTGGCATGAGGTGAATGACTTTCTCTTCTATGAAGCCGTTGGTTGGTTGGCATTATTTCATGGCAGAGCTCAATTTGACTTGTGAACATTGTGACACCTGATGCAACAACAATTATGTTGAAAGGAAAATGGTGTTGCAGATTTTAATCAATTCTGTACCAAAGTCTTTGGTTCTGTATATTTTGGAGAACTAAGCAGAGCTTTGGGGCGTGTTTGGGATGTTTTTAGAAACAGGAAGTGCTCAAAATATCCTTAAATAAATGGTACCCGCTTCCCTTCCTTTTACAGTACTGATAGTTTCTTCTTACCTTGCTGTGACTGAGAGAAGGGTTGTGTCTGAGCTTCAGTCGATCTTTGCTTGGCCATCCCCATTTATGGAACAGAAATGAGGATGGGAATCCTTTACAAAAACCTTCAGTGCAATATTTAACACGTAAGCCAGGAATGTGGCGGACCCTCCATTTACAAAATGCATGGATAAAGCACTTTCAGGGAGAGCCAGGTGACTGACCTCAGGTTATCCCTTGAACAGATACACATTTGCTCTAATTGCCTCCTTCTCAAACCTCTCAGCCTTTGACAAGGAGTGTGGGAATTGGGATGTACCTTAATGAACAATTTTTAAAGCATCCCTTTTTTCTAAGTAAAGATTAGATTCAAGATAACTGCTACAACCTGTGGATAGTCTGGCTGCAGAAGTACCTAAGGGCCATTTATTTTTCTCAGGCCTTGTTACACAGTTGCCCTCAGGCCAGTTTTTGTCCTTTGCTCAGTCTCTTCTGTGTTTCTTATAATCAGCCTTGAAGCAGTTTTAAGGTCGACTGTCTTGCTCCTGTGAGGCAATGTTCAGTGTAGTGAAATTAAATCACATCTCTGTCCTGAAGCTGAACTAGTGCAGGTTAGAATTGCATTTGTTCATCTACGCTTTGGGAGATCAGGGAGAGAAATGCATTATTTCATTTCAAATGGAGAAGCAGGGTTGGATGATGATACTGCTGTGCTTTTTAGAAGTCAGGCTCGGGTACATTTTGTGAATGAGTTTCCTGGAGTAAAGGGGTCTACAATTATCTTATTATCAAGGTGAATTTGCTGCTCCTCAGTTGCCTGTCCTTGAGAGTGTCCAGAGACTCAGAAGGTCTGGTGAGATGAAGCAAGAACTGAATTTCAATTTGATGATGAGCTTGATGATGAAAAATATTCCTTTATCTACATCTAAACATCTGATTTTAAGTCTGATTATTTGTTCGGCTTTAAGACACAATGTCTGTGGGTTTTAGGGAGGGTTTTTGGTATTTTCTTTCTTTTTTTAATTCAAGGTACTGATATGTATTTAAAATAAAGTTACATTTGTCGAAGAATAAATTTTTTACAAAAAAATCTCTTCCACATGTTTTGTTGTTGCTTTCTGTCTTTTTACAGAATGGGTACAGATGGCACCAGCTTTATTTTCTAAATTCATCCCAAATGTTCTCCCCCCTGCTGTGGAATCTGAGCTTCCGGAATATGCTGCTCAAGACCAGAAACTTCAAAGAGAGCTTATTCAGAATGGATTTACAAGGTAATAGTTATTAGTCTTCAGCAGTGATTGTTCTGGACAGTGCTGCAATGGTAAAAATGGATACACCTACAAATACTGAAGAAATAATTTAAGAGTTAATAAAAAACTTCCACAATTTAGTATCCATATGAAATGTCACCTTATATTCCATGTGTTGGAGCACCAACAACCCTGCAGATGGTACCAGAAAGTAGATGACTGGAAGGCTTGAAATATTATTTTGATGAAACAGATTGCTTTCAGTTCATGCATCCCTGTGTTTTGGTTGTGCTTCTGCTGCACGGTCATGCTCTTGTTCAACTTCAGCATTTACTTTGGCTGTTTGTTTTTTTCTAAGCTCTCCTTTTGGTTTTTTTTTTTTTTGATGCTTCTGAAAATGTCAGTTGATGATTTCTCCTTATTCCACTGTCAGAGTTATTTATACAGACAAGTTGTCTGTTTTAAATAGGCATTTCTCTTCTGAGTATTGAACTGGGGGGGGGCAGAAGGTGGCAGAACAAACAGTAGAAGTCGCAGCAGCAGATGTTCCTCCTGTAGATTGTTCAGGCTGGGCAGTGCCTGCTGCTCTGTGCTGTTTTAAGCTGCCTGGACTGAGGCACAGCCCGTTCCCCGCAGCAGTGGCTGCTTGTGCAGTGGGCTGGCAATCTGAGCCCAGGCTGGGCAGACACTGTGCTCTGTTCCCAAGAGGACGATTTCTTCCTGAAGACAGAACATCTTCATCTTTCCTGTTACCTGTGCAACGCTCCAGATCTGGAGCTGGAGTTTGAACCCCCTCTAGATGTGGGTGTGTTCGGTGGCAGATGTATTTCTGGAGTTCAGCCCACGTAGTTTTCCTCAGAGGTAATCTCTGTCTTCAAAGCTTCGTAAATTATTGAGCTTCAAAGCTCTACTCTTGACCCAAATGCAAATGGTATGGTGTAGACTCTCCTTGGAAGGCTTTCTGTTGACTAAAGGAATTTTTTAGAGGGATATGCATGAAAATGAAGCCATAAGAGCTTGAGCTGAAAAAAGTGGTGCATTTGGCCCAAGAAATAGGAGTTTGAAACCGAGTAGGAATATAATGCTGACAAAAGGATACAATGCACAGAACAAAACAAAAAAAGGAACAATTTAGTTTTGTCTAACTTCCAATCTTGCTAATTCTGTAGGTGGCTAATAATAGTTCTGCTTACAGCTGCATTTCACCAGTTTCACAGTTCTTAGGGAATTAAACATGAGGTTTCAAGTTGTAACAGTCTATATCCACAAAAGCAGTGGGTTCCAAAAATGTTTTTCTTCAGTTCCCTGAAAATGAGAGGCTTGTTAGCTTTGGCTGTGCAGTTGTTTGGCTGGTTCTGTAAGACTACAAAAGGCTGGCAGAGGCAGTAAGGGACACTGATCACTGCAAAGGCTGAATGCCTGCATGGTGCTGTCTTCTTACAGACTTTGTGGGATCCTCAGAGTGTCTTTTAGCAACTCTTATTTGATACAGAAAATTCTCTGACTGTGGGACTAATGCAAATTTGTAGGAAGCAGTTTCTGTCCTGTGTGATAGAAGAGATGAGGGCTAGAGGATAGTCAGGCACCCAAGAACTAAGTAAAGGTTTCTGTGTCACATACTGTTTGCAGAGTCTAAATTCTGACTCTTCTCTCTGGCTTCCTGGAGGATGGGATCTCCTGGGCATTGGACGTGTGGAGAGTTTTGGTATGCCCTGTAGGTTTAGAAAATCACCCCCCACCTGCTCATACTTCTGTGTAAGTGCTGTGTCTATGCAGCTTTATGAAATAAAAGTGCAAACTGAAACTTTGCAGAGGAATAGCTGATGGATGGCAGTGTCTGTTGAATGTGTTTTGCACAGTCTGTTTTATAGGGTTGTGCTATCAGTGAGTCAGTGCAGGCTGGTAAACACGGGGGTTATATTTGAGTGTCATCATTAAAGGGGCACAGGCAGAAAGATAGTGCCTCTACTTCAGTTTTATTTGCTACATGGCATTTTTCAGTGGTATTTGAAATGCATTTTGCCTTGAAACGTATTTCAAGATGTAATATGCTGCTTCCTGTGATGAACATAGGTTATGCTTGTTTATGACTTGTCAGAATTTTTCTGAGGTTCTGTTCCTACACAAATAAATGTATAAAAAGGTTTTCTCTTTTATCAAGTACCATGCGAAGCCTCTGCTGGGTTAGTATTAAATGTCATCTCTTCTCCCTTAATTGTGCCAGAAAATGGTGATGTTTTTGCTGCTGCATTTGCTGCTACAATCACCATGAGGAACACAGCACAGTGAGGTGTCTTCAGCAGCATTAATTGCATGTCAGGCTCTAGTTGAAGAAATCAGTTTATCACCACTGTTAAGTACTAAAATCTGCTTAAAGAGCAAGTGTTGCCAGCTCAGGCTTGCCTAGAGCCTGATTGTTGGGCTTTGCCAGGAGCATCTTACCTTTTCAGACTGATAGTTTTTCACGTAGTTTTACAAGTTTGATTGAGTTTGAATTGAGGAATACAATTTTATCTGTGACCGAAGACCATGCTGTAAATGAGCAGTTTTTCTCATCTTCATTTTCTAAAAAAATATCTTATGATGTGAAACATTTTATCCTGTGAAATCTGTAACAGAAAGCTGAGCTAAATTCTACAAAATGTAGCTTATCCTTCTGTTTTAGTAATTTGGGAATCCTGCAGTAGTGTTATTGTTCCTGTGTTTGCATTTTGTTTCTGAATCTCTGCAAGTAGATTGATGGTTGTGCTGAGGTGTTTTGCTGTTGTTTTGAAAATCATCAGATGGTTTGGGTTGGAAGGGACATTTAAAGGTCCAGCCTCCCTGCAATGAGATCTTTAATTCAGGTTATCATGAGAAACCCTTTGTTTCTCTCCCTTCCAGAGGTGACCAGTCACGCAAGAGGCCTGGAGAAGAGCTTTACAGTGAGTATTCCCCTAACCCTGCCCTGCAGGTTGGGCACAGGGGCAGGGGGGGACTGGTGAGTGTTCAGGGTGCTGAGGTACCCGAGGCTCCATCCCCACGTGTATCAAGCTGCCTGCGATGTAACCTTGACCATGCCAGGTAAAAATACAAATTTCTCGGATCTAGAGCCTGGCTAGCTCTGCCAGAACCCCCCAGCCACCATCCTGGGTACTAAGGGCAAGGTACTAAACTTGATTTAAGTGGAAGCTGAGGTCTTGAGGAAAAAGAATGTGGTTCTCCTAAGTCTCTGCCTGCTCAGGATACACATAACAGGCAATGTTATGAGCCAGCCCACCTCTGTAAATCACCCTCTGGTGAAGTGTGTTTCTGACTCTTGTCAGAATTGAGAGTTTGGATGGTTGTGCTTTTCAACTTGGAAGCCTTAGAGATGTGGCTGATCCAACTCAGGATCCACCTGCGTTGGGTCACTAAAGGCAGCGTTCAGGTGTTGGGCTCATGCAGCGTGGAAGTTCCCTTCTGTTGGTAGCTGAAGCCTCTGGCTGCATGATTAACTGGGAGGTTCTTCACTTTGTTCCCCTGATTTCCTCCAGTGTAGGAGAAGAGACAGAGAGAGGAGCTGGTTCCTCTACTCCAGATAGCCCTAATTTGGGTGCAGTCAGCCAAAGGTCCTTTCCTCTGCTCATCTTTCCTGCTGACTAAGCATTTGGCCAGGAAAGACCAGTCCTGTACAGTCTAGGTTAGGATTGAAGGACAAGGCCCTGATTGTCCTTAAACAGCCTTGGGGGATTGGGGAATAGTATCTGTTGTGGTACTGTTGTTAACTTCAGCTCATTTTCTGGCATTCTTTCGCCAAGTTTCCTCTCGTGCTTTCAGCTGAGGATGTTGGTTTTATTTCCTTCCATAAAACGCCAGACAGTTTTATGATGAACTGTTACTGTAAGCTGAAATGAATGAATGGACATTTATATGGTTTATCAGCTTCTCTTTGTACTGGTAATGTTTTGCAGGCACTGCTGTGTTTTGGGGGAATAGGGGCAAGGGACATAATGTGGAAGCTTAATATGAGAGAATTTCTCAAACTTTTTATGTAATTTCAGGTGGCTCATCAGCCTGTGCAAGCTCCAGGGGATACAGATAGTGAATATACTGGATCAGCTTCTATTCCTGGCCAGAACAGACACTGGAGGAGCACAGATGGTATCTGGAGCCTCCTTTGACACCTGCTGATACTCAAGCTCTGACACGAACTTCGCCTCAAAGAAGAGCTCTGGACTTTCTTCTTTGTGTAATGTCAGTGCTGCTACAGTTGGGGTGACTTTGAGAGACGTGGTTCCTTGGCCTGGCCTATCAGCAAGTTCATGTTCTGCGACTCCTGTGAGGAATGCACCTTGAAAAACAATCCTTTCAAAGTGGAAATGGGCAGCCGAAATCAGCAGCTTCCAAAAAGCATTAGAATGGAAGAATCCTTTTTGCACTCTTTTCTTAATATTAAGGACATTCTTAAAACTAGTTAACACGTCAGTGTATTAGTTTTTGAACTTCAAGTTATTTTCTGGAGCTTCTACTTAATAATAAGAATAAAGTTTCATTATTTTGCAGTATTTGTTTGTTAGTTTAAAAATTGTCACCTTTAAGAGTTGGTCCCTTTGTCACCAGAAATTGGGAGATAGACTCTCCAACCAATTTGGTAGGTTAGGAGGCCACCATCACTGTATTACCAGTGCTGGATGCATGGGGATTGCTCCACAAAGCATGCATACCAGCAACCTAGCAGACCAGCTTATGTTCATGGAACTAATGCATATTCATCACATTTCTGTTGCATATTCATGGCATTTCCTGAATGCATCCATATATGCTAATTATATCCATGGACTTATGGATGTGGTTCCAGATCTTCTGATGAATCTTTTTCTCCTTGAGAGTATCTCAAATATGTGGTCAGGTTACAATGTGCTTCTCTTACCATTCTTTGGTCTGACACGCAGTCCTTGTTCTCAAAAGTTTAGGCATCTGCTAGTTCATGTTGACCACTGATACAGGTAAATAAGGAAGCAATAGCTGGCACAAGACTATTAGTCATAGATGTAGGGATCAAACACTGTTTTATTAAGGTTAAAAGAGTTTTCCAACATCTTCCCCCACTGCTGCATAGACTCCTTTTATAAGAAAAAAAAATATAACTTGTTCAGTAACACCATGTAAATGTATCTTCTGTCAGGGAGCTTTCAATTCCAGATTTTTGTTTTATCTCTTTGTTTTGTTACGTGGTATTTTGAAATCTGTTTTCCTATGTGTTTGTACTCTGTGCCTTCAGCTTGAGCACTTTGCGACTTTATAGACCATATTTTGTGACTGCAAAATGTGTTCTTGAGGAGAAACTTGATGTGAACAAACATGCTGCAAAGTTGCACTTTTCTCTTGCGTTAAAAAGGAAGCGAATTTAAGGAGGAAGGAAGAAAAGTTGAACCTGTCACCATCACTAATAGTGACTTGGAAGTTTGTCCCCCTTTGTTTTTCATGTGTATTAGTGTTTAATGCAGGGACCAGCTCTTGTAGAACCCCCCTCACTGACTTTCCTTTGGCTTCAGGAGTTGGACTTGTGGGTCCCTTCCAGCTCAGAATGTTCTGTGATTCTGTGGTTCCATAATTGCAGTAGATGGAGGTGGGAATTCCAGGCTGAATGAAATACTAAGATATGGTTTATGCTGTGCTTTGTAGAAGCACTGGGGGTGAAATTCTGCAGTCTGGGGGGTCTGCAGAGGTCTCCGTGAGCACAAGATTTGCACTGGGTTGATCAGCAAACTACGGTACCTGTCCAAGATCACTCTGAGGCTCCTGTGCCACCCTCCTGGCTGGGAGGAGCTATGGGGGGGCTGTGGGAGTGGGTGCAGCCAGAATCAGGGATTTGAGGAGTGGTGTGATGTGTGCATGTGTCCCCATCGGCCTCCTGCCTCCAGGCTTGTGTGAGCTCGGCTGGACATCCATCCAGCTGGACACAGCTCCAGGAGATCAGGTGTGTGTCTAATCGTTGTGATGTAGGTTTAATCAGCAGCATGGCTAATGCAGCTCTCTCACCAGGGGATAGACATACTTGAAAAGCAGCTTGACTACAGGGTTTGGGTTTTTTTCATTACTATGGATTTATTTTTTTATCACCTTTAGTTATGAAGAGAATTGAGTTGGTAGTGCAAGATCTTTCTGAAGTGAAATAGAAGGTTTGTTCAGTTTTGTCTGGCACAACTCTGATGCCTGTTTAAGGAAAAACAAAACACCAACACGACTCCTTTTGTGCTTGTGTGGGTTCATTACAAAATGCAGGAAAAAAAATAGGTGCGGCAGGGACAAAGTTTCATTTTCTTTTTATTTTGTATCCAGGCTTCATGTAAGTGAATTTAATTCCATCAGTGTCACATCACCCACTTTGGCAATGCTGTTAATTTGGAGGGTGGGGGGAAAGAGGGGCGAAGATGACACTGCTGGGATTGACAGAGTCAGCTCTGGTTTACATGTATGTTTCTTCACATATTTGCAAAGGCTGTTTGATTTTTGAGGAAGTTTTTCTTTCAAAATTAAAAGCAAATGCTTTAGTGTTTTTATTTCCATGTAGAAGAATGCCAGCAGTCTGATCTCATCCCCAGCAGTGGAAAAACAAACCGCTCTGGGTAGGGATTTTCAGGTGCTGATAGTGTTTGCTTCAACTTTGCTACCAGCCACTTAAGTTGGAGCAGAATTGGGTAGGACCAGGGAGGTTGAAAATGTTGCTGAATTATGCTGTGGAGAAGGTAATGAAGGCTAATGGGGAACAAAAATGATTTGCTAGCTTCTGGTTTTTTAAAGTTTTGGCTTTAAACACAAACAAAACCTCTGATAGTGTCCTTAGCTTTAAAAATCACTGTCTGCTGAAATGGCAATATTCTTGAGGTAAGAATAGATGCATTAACCTAATTTGGTTAAAGTTTGTTTACAACTTTGTTACCATCCTAGCTCACATAATACAGTAACCAAGCTCTGTCATCTCTGTCAAGTGATCACAGTTTTAATCTGTTCTTAAAGTGGTTTTCCTGGTTCAGGTGTGTAAATAGCACGTTTTGCTTCATGTTTGAGGCAAGGGTTCAACATTCATTTTACAGTGTGTTGTTTTTGGGACAAACTTCTGGAACAATAATGCCATCAAAATTATCAACATAATGCTGAAATATGGTTTATCTGTTGAAGATATTATCATTGTGACTGAGCATGGGACAGAATACAGCATACTATTCTAAATTATTTTGTTTCTCTGTAAAGTTGCATTTTACTTACAGTTGAACTAACTCAGCCAGCTTGAGCATTGGTACTGTAAAGCCACAATTACCAACAGCATGATCCTAACTGCAGTATTTAATTTAACCAAATAACTTGTGGTGAATCCATTGCATCTGTAGCTTACTCTGTCAAGATTAAGCAGTAAAGTTGGTTATACAATGGGTGTCCTCTCTATGTTGCACTGGTTCTATAGCCAAACTTGCTACATTAAAATATTTTTAGAATAATTGCATTTCTTGATTTGAGGAGTTGAAATATTTAAATTCTTCTTGCTGACTTCTGTGATGGTTGGCAGTTGCCAATGTATGGCCAAGATGTCTTTGATACAAATGACAGGGTGGGGGAGGTCCCTAGAAAAGTACTCAACTCTTCTTCAGCTGGATCTCCCTTCTGCAATGGTTGGGGAAGCGTTTACAGATGAATAGGTTGAAGAAGAAGTTTTTGACTCCTGTCATTTGATAGAAATGTGATCAGCCAGATTAATCCCTTTTCATTTCTTCCCACAGACAGTGATTGTTTACTTTCTACAGGATAAAAAACCAAACCAAACCCCCAGGAGCTACAAAGGCTGTGTTTTGAGTGACTGAAAATGTTTTCTGTGTACACTATGACAACCCTAGTGAACAGACTGTTTTGTAGAACTATGGAATAAAAACCAACTGCTTCAGTTTGACTCCTGTCATCAAGCTGATTCCAGCAGAGAGGAAACAAAGTTTGGGGTTTCTTGTTTTTGTTGTTTTGGTTTTTTTTGTTTGTTTGTTTGGTTGATTGGTTGGGGTTTTTTTGTGATGCCTTGAGGTGCACGAGGTATCCAGAGGTAATTCAGTTCACGCTGGGGACCTTAAGGTCCTGTCACATTGTGCACATGCCCGGCACAAAGTCTGCTCTCAGTCCATTAACTGGTACAACTCCTGTGAAGTCGAGGTCTTAGTCCTGTTCAATCTTCTATTTCTAGGCAAGACAAAGGAGAATTTTCAGGTAGAGTCAGATTTTTCCTTCTGGAGGTTTCTTGGGAAATACTCTCTGGCTGGTGGAGGAGAGGGCTCTTTCCTCCAAGGAAAAGGGCTTTGTGACTGGCTTTGTGACTGGGTTTGTGCCTGGGTTTTGTCTGCTGTTCTCCATGCAGTGTGGTGCAAGACAGTCAATCACATCACTATGCCTGTAGCACTGGGAGCCTTTCATTCTGCATTTCATCTGGGATAAACAATGATCCTTTGGTAGGCTTACAAACTTCAGGTACTGGCAATTGTGGCAGGCATGAACCAGGGCTGGACTTTGGCAGGTGTCATTCTGGTAATGACAGGTCAGGGGAAGTTCCTTTGTCCCAGAGGACAGTCCTTATTTTAGCACAAATCGGTGTGATGCTGGCCCAACACGGTATTTTTATACCTGTAGAGCCTGTTGACAGGAAAAGGTCAGAAAAAATCTGAATTTCATCCTTATCAGCACTGAAATAGAGTGGTTTTGGATGGGGACCAGTCACCTGCGAGGGGAATCTTCCCTTCTGTCAGGAGGGCAGAAGATAAGCATTACTGCATTAGCAAAACACGACAAACTTGCTGATTTGGTCCCAGTTGAAAGCTCCTTGATAAAGTGCTTTGTACTTTGCTAGAGAGAGTGAAAGTATTAAACCAGTGTATCTTGGTCTAACTGGAATGACTGGTTTAAGGGGATTCCAAAATTTCATAGGCAATCAGAAATCCCTTCTGGCTGCCTCCATCTGCCTCTGGAACGCTCCAGATACACTTGGTTAATGTTCTTTCTGTTTCTGAGCTTCTGCTCAGCTGACCTAATTAGCACAGAACAGGAATGTTGACTCCCCTAATGATGACAGCAGAGTGAATTTAGCAATAGCACTTATTGCCTCATTAGTGTTGTTTTTCAACTAATTGTTCCTTAAGAAAAACTGTTACAGTTTCTGCAGTGACCTGGGCCATCGGTTTCAATTAGAGAGCAGCAGGTGATTGATTTGTTACCTATTTGTTACCCATGATTTGCACCATTTGCCATCTATCAGCAAACTGGGTGATTTTGTACAGGGAGCAGCTCATAAATTGCTATCTTAGAGTGGTTGGTGGATGCTGCCCTGTGGAAGAGCTGCATTTCCAGGATATGAGTACAGTTCTTAAATTTAAAGTAACATATTCCAAGAGTTCTGGGTTTGGGTCTCTCTTACCTGGCCATGGCCTGCTGGTACTTGAACCCACCTCATCGAAGCAGAATTTGGCACACAGGGCTAGTTCTACCTGTGCAGGAGCAGAAGGAAAATAGGCCTGTTTTGTTCTTTTTCTTACTGACTTTTACATTAAGTCTTTACTGAGTAGGCTTAGATAGCCTGAGTTCTTCAAGGCATGCAGTTTGGATATTCTAGTCTGCTGGAATGAATCTGAAGCAGAATTTCATGCAAGCTATAGAATCATTTCCCTTCAAATGCAGAGATGTGTCAGACCTGGTGACTATCTACTTGTTTTCTAAATAATCTCATTATCCTGTTTGTTCCCTAAATGTATATTCAAGTGATAAAGTGCTTTCCAGTTATGGCTCCAGTCTTCCCCTTCAGAGATGCTGTGGTTACAGAGTACAGATATGCAGGGGAGAGACACCTATAGAGTGGAATGAAATTCTACTTCCATACTTCTCTTTCAAATTTCCCTGCAGGAATGTGTCATGAAATAAAAAAACATACAGAGTCATTCACCTCATTTGTGTGCTGCCATAAAAATGTTATATTCTTTCTTTTTAATCATTCCCAGCTCTGAATTTGCCTTAATTACTGCTGTATACCGAGCTAACACTTCTTAGAGCGATCTATTACAGTGCCAAGATGTCATTTGTGGGTAGCAGCAGCTCCTCCTTATGAAAGCAGAGTTAGGGTCACGTTTTCCTAATGCATCATTTTGTAGGTCAGTGTAATCATAGGTAGTCCAGACCTCTCACCCCATTGCTTGATGAAATCAAGTCCTGTAGCTCTTCGTACTTGTACAGTGTTCTTTATTTTCCTGGATGAAAACATGAGAACTTCTTGTTTCCCCTCCTTTTCAGGTGTCTGTGAGCACAGCAAGCAGCAGGAGCCCAGTGCTGGTGAGCCCTCTCTGCTGTGGGCACGGGCAGTTCCTGCTCCATCCACAACTTTCCACTGGCAGTTTCTTCATGTGGAAAAGCTGCTCCATTAACTCGTGGTGGCTTTGCAAATTTAGAGCTTTAGATGAGAGTGGAAATCTGTATCACAGGGTGTCACTTGGCACTCACCACTGTGACTCTGCCACGTCTGCTGTCCTGTGAAGCCACCAGTCCGTGCCATAAACCACCAAACAAGCCTCCCTCACTCGTGTTCCAGAGCTCACCCTGTCAGCACACAGGGATGGCTGGGCAGGCTCAGGTGTCTGAGCTCTCCCATCGCAGGGGACAGGAGTTCAAGTGGTGTCATGCTCTGAGCCTGCTGAAGAACTGGGGACTGGCAAGGTGATTCCCTTAGGTAAAAGGAAACAAGCAAAACTGTCAGCATATTTAATTGATTCTGTTCAGCAAAGAGTCTCTGCTGAACTAAGAGTCCCTCTCCCAAATCTGCTGCAAAACCTCTGAACTTGGGCTAACTGGTCATCAGCCACTTAATGGTTTGCTGATAGGGGACAAGAGAGCAGCTTTATAATTTGCCAGGTCCTCTTGTCTGGCTTTGCAGCCAGTCATTCATTGTATACAAAGTATTTCAAGAGCACTATTGAGTTTTAAAAGCATTCTGAAAAAATAATACATGTGAAGTTTGTTTCCAGTGGAGCCAATTTAACTTTCTGTCGGTCTGCATCCTCAGAGTGACTTAGTTCAAGATTACTTTAGTCTGATGAATTCATCTTGTGTTGAATACAAACAAATGCTTTGGCCATTATTATATTATTCTCTTTGTTTATGGGCTATTCTGTATATGCACAGGAAAAAACCCAACATATCTGGTTGC